GCGCTTCCACCAGTACCTGTGGGGCCGGCAATTCGAGGCGGTCACGGACCACAAGCCACTGCTGGGGCTGCTGGGACCTGACAAGGCAGTCCCAGTGCAAGCATCGCCTCGTGTGGTACGCTGGGCCTTGACGCTGGCAGCCTACAGGTACAAGCTGGTCTACCGCCCTGGGAAGGACCTGGGACCTGCCGATGCCCTGAGCCGCCTGCCCCTGCCGGAGGTGCCTGCTGCCGTTCCAGAACCAGCTAATGTGTTCCTGCTGGAGCGGGCCTACCCGGGGGTGCTCACCAGGACTGCGGTGGCGCAGGCGACCAGCCGGGACCCGGTCCTGTCCCAGGTGGTCAAGGCGGTTGCCCGAGAGGAGGAGCTGCGTCACCAGGCTTACAGCCACAAGACCGCCGAGCTGAGCTTGGAGCAGGGCTGCCTGCTGTGGGGTTCCAGGGTGGTGATTCCACAGAGTCTCCGGGCCAAGGTGCTGCAGTTGCTGCACGCGGGGCACCCTGGCATCGAAAAGACCAAGATGGTGGCACGGTCGCACGTTTGGTGGCCTGGCTTGGACCAGGACATCGTGCACCAGGTGCAAAGCTGCCAGGTCTGCCAGGAGAACCAGCGAGCCTCGCGCCACGTGGAGATCACTCCCTGGCCGTTCCCACAGAGGCCGTGGTCCCGCTTGCACGTGGACTATGCGGGACCCTTCAAGGGCCATTACTTCCTGGTGGTAGTGGACGCCTTCTCCAAGTGGGTGGAGGCACTAGCAGTCACCAGTCCCTCGGCAAGCGCGACCATTGCGGCGCTGCGGCAAGTCTTCGCGGCGCAGGGATTGTCGGACATTATCGTGTCTGACAATGGTCCCGCTTTCGCCAGCGCCGAGTACCTGGACTGGCTGCAGAGGAATGGGATCCGCCGGATGCTGGTTCCGCCGTACCACCCCGCTTCCAATGGTGCAGCAGAGCGGGTGGTACAGGCCCTCAAGAACAAGCTGAAGAAGAGCCAGCCCGGGGATTTCCGAACGCAGGTGGCCCGGGTACTATTCCAGTACCGGACCACACCTCACGAGGTCACTGGCCGTGCCCCCTGCGAGCTTCTGCTGGGCCGGATGGTCAAGACCCCCCTGGACGTCTTGCATCCAGACCTCCGGTCCACGGCGCCAGTTGGACCGGTGCCACACCCCAATCCGGTCCCTGCAGCTCCACCGGGTGGAGCCCGACCGATTCAGGCAGCGCCCGGCGTTGCCACACCTGGCCCGTCGACACCAGTGCCCAGGCGGAGTGTACGGCAGCGGAGGCCACCTGACCTTCATCGTCGACAGGCCGGGACTTTGCATGACCAGACGCCGAGATGGTGTCTGCCGTGCGCATTGTATTTAGTTTTGTTTTATAACAAACAAACTGGGGTGGAGGAGTGTGACAAGTTAGTGGCGGCCCCCTCCAGTCCGCCCGTCTGCGGCCACCTGGCTCGGCGGGCAACATTGTTCATCGGGACAATAAACGCCGTTGAGCGTACGCCGCTCCGGCCAGTCATCGTCCACCCTCACGACCAGGCTGCGTGTCGTCTCTCCTCGGCGGGTGCTTCGGCCCCCTACGTCCACGTTCGAGAAAGATCGTGACAAAAGGCAAGACCCTCCTCGCGCGTTGGCCGCGACGTCAAGGAAACGGTGGGACGCCATTGGATGCGGAGGTGGCGGAGGGATATCTGATTCCCTTTGAGGGGCATTTGCGGCTACCTTCTTAAAGGGACACTGACACCCCCCAAAATTTTTTTTTCATTTTTTGCCAGGCGCTTCATTATGGTGTCGGGGGACTACCCAATTAATATTTTGCAACAGAGTAGCGTATTTCTTTAATAAACCCAAAAGACGCAACTGCTCGAAACCGAAACCGAAACCCGACGGAGGTCGGAGAAGTGGAGAGAAGAGAGTGACTGGCGGAAGTCACGTGGCTACACCCGACCGTGCGTTTTTTTTATTTTTTTTTCTCCTCTCCGTAGCAGACGACACGACATGCGGCGTGCGATGCGGCGTGCGGGAACTGCTCGCCCTGCGATTCTTTTGCAGTTATGTTTGTTCCGCTCGTTGTTCTGTACTCCAAGATGAGTTGTTTTGTACATTGAGGAGTTGGAGATGAGTAGTGAATGCCCGTGGTGAATTTCCATGATCGGCTCCGAAAAGAATACACCCAAGATGTTGCGTGAAGAGCTGGCTCACATGTCCTGCATCCGAAAAAAAGTGGCATTGTGCGACAGAGTTTCCGAAAGATCAACGGGATCGGGACCAATCGCTGGCTGCAATTCCTGTAGAACATTTACGGGCACCTCGGAAAGCGGACGCTACCTGACTTATATGCTCCTTGCATTTTGTGGAAAGTGATTACATTGAGTTCGCAGGTGTCAAAACGAAAATCCCATACCATTTAATTCAGCGAAGAATCGTCCACAACATTTGTTTGTTTTTTAATGAGGATTGGTAAAAAAAAAAAAAAAAAAAAAAAGATATGTAAACTTTAAAAAATGTGTAAAAAAAAAATTTACGGCGAGTCGAACCGGGTCCTACCGCGTGTGAACCGGACGTCTTTCCCACTAAGCTACTGGGGCAGCTCGATTCTGGAGGATCTCTTTCCTTAGTAATAATTCAGCCGGTAAACTGTAAGTTGGAAAGTTGGCTGTCGATTTTTTTCTAGCAGAAGCACTCCCGGGTCGAAGTCGGGAAGCACCACGCTTTGGGGACATTCGCACCTAGTAAAGAAATCGTACGCGTGCATATTCAACTCAAAGTAGAACGTCGTGCTTGACGTTTGCGCGAGCGATGTCTTCAGCCACGAGAAGGGAGCGACGGCTCGGCGACGTCTTCGTGCAAATCGGCTTGGTGGCCGGGCGTGTCGTACGGGATGAATTATTTTGATCAGTCCCAAATTTCTCTTTTAAAGGGGTACTCCACCGATTTTTTGAGCTACCTAAACTAACTATATTTTCTGACTCCCCGGCCTTTACTCTCTCCGGTATGCTATTTAGAATCGCGAAATTCATAATAGTTATTGCGAAATCGGCAAATGAAAATGATGCAAAAACCAACATTCAAATATACGCGCGCTTTTCAGGGCCGTGACGTCAGTGGCAGGCAGGCTTGTCAGTCCAGCAAGCAGCCAAAAAATAGAATATGCCAATCATTTGTTCCGTGCTGGAGCGCGGGTACTGCAGCGAGCTTCCCAAGCATTCTTTTGACACCATGAAACTGCTTCGAATCAGTTTAAAACAAAATCTACAGCCCAAAGAGTGAACCCCTGTCTTCCACTGACGTCACTTTTTTATTGTTGCCAGTAGAAACTTCGATCTTGAAAAACACGGTGAGGACCAAAACTGTAAATTCAATAACTTCGCGAAAAAACAATATTTTGACCTAATATTTGGGATACTATTTTCGCGATGTTTGTTGGTTAGTTTAGCAAAATTTCAAGAAAATCGGAGACAATGAAAAAATCGGTGGAGTAGCCCTTTAACGGTAGACAGAACTCGCCGGTACCGCGAACGACAGTTCTGAAATAGAGGTCCCACGCCCGTCGTACGCTGCCATCGCCGTCCCCGCGAGACCCACGATACGCGAAACGACGAACGCACAGAATGCTTCCGGTTGTCTGTGGAACTTTTTTTTTCAATCAACGTATTTACAGCTTTTTATAAGCCACAAAAAACGGGTTTCATATTTTTTTTTTTTCTATTTTTAATATTGAGTGTGTGCCTTCAGTGACCCACGGCTTTGATTAAATTTGGTGGCCTCATCGATACCTTAGAAAACGGCCCGTGACCACGAAAAAGAGAGTGAGCGAGACTCGAACCGGCCAGTTCTTGATCGGCGGTTTTCGGGTGGAAAGAAACCGAATTTCGAGCCGCAAATTCTGTTCTGGGTAGTTGAGCTCTCATATGTCACGTACAACTAAAAACCTCGGCGAGCATAAATACCCTGTCAGTGTCCCTTTAACCTGTAACTGACTATAGTTGTTAGACAAAAACAACGCACCGCTCGAGTTATTTCGTCTGCCCTCTCTGAAAGACGAAGTCGAGCTCGCTCGTAAAGACCTGCACTTCCGAAAGTCGCAGGAAAGGTAAGACAGACACAGTCGTTGTGGCGAGCAGACGACGTTGCAAAGGAGCAGACGACGCTGAGATAGGGGGTCGCGATCAGCCAATCAGGGCTCGGCGTTCTGACGACACCACTACTTCCTTTCTCATGCGCAAAAGACGAAAATGATCCCACTTGCTAGTCGAATCTGGCGAAAAGTTCGAAGGTTCGTCGAATCGGTTCGACCCAGTCGAACCCCGAAAGTTCGACCAAAAATCTGGTTCGACAAAAGTTCGCGACACCCCTAGTGCCAGTGCGTGTGAAACGAACTCGCTGTAAGTAGGGGTGTCGCGAACTTTTGTCGAACCAGATTTTTTGGTCGAACTTTCGGGGTTCGACTGGGTCGAACCGGTGCGACGAACCTTCGAACTTTTCACCAGATTCGACCGGTTCGACTTTGTGGACAGTGTGGCCAGACCTTGATACAAGCATGTCTAGGTTTGGAGAATTTCTTTTTTTATGCAAAGGGTTATTTATTTTGTGAACAGCTGCAATTAAAAGAAACTAATTCTATTCACTGGAGAAGTTAATAACTTAAATTTTAGTACTGCATTGACTGAAATAGCCGATCAGCGCCGCACTTTATTCATCTCTTAGCCATTACCATCCAATCCGAAGCCAACTGGCCAGCCTGTCGCGCATGCGCACACGAGTCGAACCTCAATACAAGGTTCGACGACCTTTCCACTAAAAGTTCGAAAAAGTCGAACCTGGTCGAACTCGAACCGCGGCCGGTTCGCGACACCCCTAGCTGTAAGCAAGGGGTTTCGCGGTGCGATGGATGAATGAATGAATCCGGCTGTGCCCTTTGGATCGTGCGGTAGCTTACGCCACCTAGCCATCCTAGCTGGTGGCGTGCGGCAAAGTCGTTCCCACGCCACCAGGCGGCGCTTTGTTGCCTCCCACTTTTTTGTCTCCAGATGGAGCAAGCTACCATCCTCAGCGGGTGTGCTGCGCCGTTTGAGCAGTCTATTCGATTGAACGAAAGCTGAAGCCATTGAAGCATTGAAGGGTAGAGGGTTCTTTTATGGCGGTGTGTGTGTTTCTTTGTGCGTGAAATTCAATCCGTATTAATCCGAACACACTGACCCATTATAAGGCGTCGCGATGAACTCGTTAGGGACTTTAACGTTCGACGAGTTCGGAAGGCCCTTTATTATTCTCAAGGACCAAGAGAAACAGAAACGTCTTACCGGCGTAGATGCCCTCAAGGTATGATTCTCACCATTTTTCAACATTCCTCTTCAATGCCATAATTTATGATGTGTAACCTCGATCCGGGTAGTATTGAAAACAAAAAAGTCGTGATGCGGTCTCGTGCTGCGTTTGGGTTGAGCTTACCTGTCCTCTCGAATTTATTCAGGGCTGCCACCTGCGCTCTCGTTTAATTCGTGCAACTCCCGGCGTGGTTTTTACAAGTTCCTTGCCATTAATAATGCATTTTATGCACTTACGCTTTCTTCTCTAGAGACGTGAGAATTGAAAATGCGCAGTGATCGGCCAGGCTTTTGTGCGTTTTTCTCGAATTCTCCCTTTTACCATAAATGGGCATCCACTGCCTGTCAACGACTCGTGGGAGTGGTTGAAATGGCATGCGATCATGTTTAAATTTAATGTGCGCGGTGTGATTAACGCAGTCAAATGAAGAGGTCGCGGAATTTACGCTTTTGAGTGAGTGAATGAACTCTTCGCGCCAATGGAATTAAAAAAGCAGCACTTCATCACTCTGGTGAACAAACATCTGTTTATGTGATCCCTATCTCGCACTTGAGAAAGCGGGTCAACCTCGTAGGTAAAATAAAGGCAGTGTTAAATTCGGAAGTAACCGAGGCGTGTCCGTTCCTTTGTTTGCAGTCCCACATTCTGGCAGCCAAGGCTGTTGCAAACATCATCAAGACATCCTTAGGACCTAAGGGTAAGTTGCTAAACAATGACCTGTTCTAACATTAGTTTGTGTTGCCGGCTCCATGGAGGAGGCTTCCACAATGATTTTGTTGTGAACATCATTCAAATAGAGGGTCACCCCAGTCTAAAACTCTCATATTGTTGTAGTTTAAAGGTTAAACAAAATAACTCTGTTCCTGGTCTTGCTGCTTCCAGTGCTACTCGGCAAACTTCTTACGAGACATAAACATGGATTGGCAAGTGAATGGGGTTCAGCTCCTGCAATCCTGTAGAAGAGTCCGCTAAGTGGCAGCGTCCGCCACTCTATATCAGTGTAACTTGGCAACCTCCCAGCAAGCCAATTGATGTTGCAGTGCAGCACATAACAATATACAGTCTCCACCAGTATGAACGGCCCACTCGGAGCATGTGGCTGATGGGTGTGCATTGTGGACGGTTTCATATGATTCAGAGGGGAGTGAAACTCAAGGACGCTACTCAACTGAATCTGCACACGCTAACGAAGCGCTTTCCCTCAGAGCGACATGAAATTGCCATTTACTCATTTGCTTTAAGTGACTTGCAGAAGCTGTAGCTTTCGTCCTTTGTCACATAACGAAGTACACTAACATCAACCGCTCAATGTCGGCAGTGTGCCACTCTTTAGTCCACACTTTCCTGCACCTCTCAAGTGATGCAACAACCACCTGTATTAATAGCCGTCTTATACTGTGAGTGGAGCCAAGTAGTCATTGGTTTAAAGGGATGCTGAACCAAAATTTTGATTTGACAAAAAAACGCAGAAGTGCTAGGCGGGATGCTACGAACCCAAAAGCATCACTCGTAAAGTGATATCTCCAACGGATGGTCGTGTCTTTGCGAAAGAAGAGCACGCTTAAACAAGGCCAAGAAAGCCCGTGACGTCGCGATTCTCATTTCCTCCTCTTCTTGCTTTGACTCTGCGAGGACGTGAAGAGGGAAAGAAGCAAGGCCGTTACCCCTCCTCCTCAACTATTCTGCAGGAAACGCGACGTCGCAATTCTCACTCAATCGCATCCTTATTTTACAAAAATGCGGCCATCTGTCGAGATATTGCTTATGAGTGGTGTCTTCGGGTTAGGTTTCTTCTGCCGCAGAAGAAAGTTGGCGAAGAGAAGTAAGCTAAAGCAAAGAAGGCAATGGCTGAACGCTGAACCCTCACAGTGCGCTTGTTTGTCCCGGGTTCAGTCGTTGCACAAAACGCTCAAGAACCTTTTGATCCTGGCTCGCGATGTCTTGCATCGATGCGCTCAGGCTCTTCTTTTTTGTGTGTGTAGCTTGTACAGCCGGGGACAAAAGTCTCCAGGACGCGCAAGCTGCGACTGAAACGCATTGCTCTGCCATCTGCTGGTGGGTCGGGTGGTTTCGAGATTACAGAAAAGCGCATGCGCATCCTACTGTGCCTGCCAACATGAGCGCTTTCCCGCTCTTCTGCGGCGCGGCGCCTAACTCGGAATCGGGCGCTTGGTTCCACCTCGGAGACAGCGCTTACTGACATGGCACTTATAAAGCAAGAAGTCACGGCAGCTCAACTGAGCAATAAGCTGAACCGGTTATAAAGGAAGGTGCGCTGACATGGCAAAATGCGGCGCAATGCCCCAGGCAGAATCTCGAGTTCCGGAATGTGTAGCTGACGCTCGTCAGCCGCCAGCGCCATCTCCGAGGCGGTACCATGCGCCCGATTCCGAGTTAGGCGCTGTGCCGCAGAAGAGCGGGAAAACGCACATGTTTGCAGGCAGAGTAGGACGCGTATGCACTTTTGCGTGATCTCGAAACCAAGCGACCCGCCGCCAGATGGCAGAGCATTGCGTTTCAGTCACAGCTCGCACGTCCTGGGGGCTTTTGTCCCCGACTGTACCCCGTTTGCCGGCCTGGCAAGCACGCGCTGCTGGACTGTTTTTTGTCGTATGCTCGACAGTTGTATTTTGCGTACAATTTTGGGAATCAGTTGGCGATGGAGCGGAGTGGCATGGTTTCAGTTCCGATCGAACAGCTGTTGTCCCCGCTTGATCGACGAAGCATGCGCAACTGCAAGCCTGCCGAAGTTGCGCTTACGTGCATGCGAACAGAGTTGCACGAAAGAGGCACCCCGGGGCGCTTGCAATCCATTGGTTTTATGTTTGCTTACTTTTGTCGAAAATTTGGCACGTTGGAAACCAGTATAATGGTGGCAAGCGATTTTTCGGAATTGCTCGGCAATGCCTACAGCACTTTGCACTTGTGGGATGTCTCAGCAGTAAAAACACAGGCAGAGAGTTCTGTCACAGCACTTCACAACAGAACACAACGCAGCGCAATGTGCCTTTTGTCTGTACAGCACTTTCAACTAATATTTTTATTTTTCTAAGAATATCTGCTCCAAAGGCCATATTTGCTCCTCTGAAACACTGTTTTGGCTGCTCCGAAAGGTGTTCCAAAATGGCTCCGGTCAATCACATCACTGTGACTGTCATTACCGGGTTGTTAACCCCAGAGGTTGTCTATTTGCTCTGTTTTGATCAATTCCCGCTTGCCTGCGGCCCCGCTGCACGCAAAGGGAAAAATTGCGCCACACTGTGCAGAGACGAGGAAATTGCAAACGAATTGGTGTTTGGTAGAGTTTTCATTCCTGTCTGGTAATCGTGGGAGTCCAATGTTCAACCAGCGAAATGAAGATGATCGCCAGAGGAGAGGAGGAGGCGGGGGTTCATGTTTAGTTTTTTTTTACCAATGCCCCAAAGGTCTGCCTGGCGATCATCTTCATGTCTTGATGATAGAGAAATGCATTAGCTTGAAAGGGAAAAGGGGGAAATAAAGCTTTTGTTAGTGTTTAGGCTAGGTGGTGTAAACTACCACCCGAGGGTACGGCCGTTATCATCCATTTGGCCTCACAATTCCATCCAATTTTCTGGCTTTGCAGCTTCTAACAGAAATGCAGCCGTTAAACTGGTGGTACAGGTGTCTCACAACTGTTTTCATGGCCTAATAGACCCTTTCCGAAATTCAGTGCCATCTGTTGGCTGAAATGGCAGTTTAACTTTTGCCATACGAATGGTGGCAATGAACCCGCAGCCTGCAGTATTTTATCGGGCACCGTCACTTTTGCATGTCAACGGCAGACGTGAATAAATTTCTCGCTATACAGGTTTTTCTGGATCATCTCTTCCAGTGTCTATTCCCACAACGATGAAACCAGGCAGAACGAAGCGCCAACCCAGACAGACGCCTTGATAAAGCTCTATAAGTCAAGGGGTTTCGAAGTCGATTTTGTGCCACTAACAGGTTCACTGGGCTTGAATTAGAGAAATGAACACTTACGCAGCGCTTGCATTCAATACCGGTTTCGCAACGTGCTAACGTCTAGAATGTATAGGCCTTGAATCCTCAGCTTAGGAGTATCTTCAACATGTTCCTTCATTAGTAAACAAAAAAAGCCGCCATTGGTATGGCACATATGCCATTTTTCAGATGGTGATGATAGTGATCAAAGTGGCCAGACTGAATTTTGGAAAGGGTCTATTCGGCTCCATTTACGCTTTGGTTGGAGCCCATCATGAGTACTGGCTCAGGGCTCTCCTCACTTCGCCGCCGCTTTAGATGGCAAGAAGTTTTTTCAGTTTCTATCCAACAGCCACTGGCATTGTGGAGATCCGCCGGAACTGGTGCAGGGTAATATGAGCCGCATCCACTCATTTTCCTTGACTGCACACTGTCGGGGCATTTGCATGTTTTGTTTTTAACAACCAATGACAGCGCAATGCAGTTCGCTCAATTCCCTTTTCGGGTATAATTGAATGTACAAAACAAAAACTGGTAAATTAGAAAAAGGACTCGCGCCCCCTCCAAACGCTGACCTGGCTACATCCATTTTGGGGGAGTTGTTTTGTGAGGCGAGTGTCCCAGTTGGAGAGGTGTCCTTTCCTCTCCGGCCCGATTGGAAAGGTGCCTAGTGTGCCGTTTGCCATCCCTCAGGCCTGGACAAGATGATGGTGTCGTCGGACGGCGACGTGACGGTGACCAACGACGGGGCAACCATCCTCAAGATGATGGACGTGGACCACCAGATCGCCAAGCTCCTGGTGCAGCTGTCTCAGTCGCAGGACGACGAGATTGGCGACGGCACCACCGGGGTCGTGGGTGAGCTCTTTGCTGACGGCCTTCGTCCAGGGATTCGTTGACACGCTTTCTGAACCACTCCTCGAGTTGCCCGACGATGGGCCGGGTCGCCGAAAGAAGGGAGCGTTAGTGTAGTGGTGCGTCTTGCATGTCGCAATAGATGACGTGCTTCCGTGAGGGGTCATGGGAAAGGATGTACATACCTGCCTAGTCTTTCGTATTACCCAGGAGACTTCCAGATTTTGACCATTTCGTACAATTGACAGGAGTATCTCCTGGAAAACACTAATTTATGCCCCCTCCTCGCGCTTTTAAGGCCCGGTCACACTGTGGGAACAGTGGGACAACTCAATTAGACAACACAGAGGAAATCAAGTTGCTGGCAACCCTGTCACATCGCGGCAGCAACAGTCGGGCAGCTTGTTGCTGCCACCTGGCAACCCTGTTTGATTTGTTGTCCTAACACCCTGTCACACCGCACTGATGGCGGGGACAACACGGGGAACACCCCGCCATCTCGATTGTTTACCTTTGTTGGTGTGTGGTGCGGCTTCGCTGGAAATGTGACTGCATATGCTAGTTAGTGTATTCGAAGGGCCAGAAACTACGAGGGGATGACTTCAACCAGTGACTGATTAGAAAACTTGACACATCTTTTACCCTTTATTTTACCAAAATGTTCTTCATTCGATGACAAAGCAGATTGCCCTAACCGGGGAAAGTGAGATCACTGATATATGTTCGGGGTTCATGCCACCGTATGAAGTGTTACTGTCTGGTTCTTTCTTCTATGCAATTCCTATTATTACTGTAAAATTGAGTTAGCACTGGCAGTACCCCAAAGCGTATTTTGTAGTGTGGCGTTGAGCTGAACTGGCAGTGTTTAAAAACATCGACACCGACACGATCGACTTTTATAATAGCAATCAGTGGAATAAATATTTTTCATCTCCGTATATTTGCCTACTGCCTGCTCTGTGATAGCTTCATTTCCCAAAACGTCTTGGGTATTTCTTAAAAACAGATCTGGTGTCTGGTAGTGGCTGTTTCCAAGTTCCAACAATCATGATTAAAGTAATCGTTTCAATGCTTTGATTTTTTCAATATTCGCTTTCCATGGATTATTTTTATTATACTTTATAAGTGGGTGAGTAGGCACGCCATTTTATTTCACTAGGAGTAATGTGAGCTGGTCTCTCAGCGCTCTCGGAAATTTCATCACCATTCTGAACGTTCACAACTGTAGCTGTGACCATTTCGACTATCACTTTCCATAATTACGCAGTAAAACATTCATGAAATTATGTTAGCTGCATGCCAGCCTTAATGGTTAAATAACATTTTCCAAGCCTTTATTTGAGTAAGACATTATTGATAGGAAACTAGCTCTGCCATCGAAGCTATCTGTGTTGTCGTGTACCCACCCTGAAATTCGCTCAGCCAGCGATCAGGGCAGCACACATCCAACACAAGTTGCCACTGTTTTTGTTGCTGAAAGCTGTCATACCGAGGCAACATTTTTGTTGTCGTCCATGTTGTGCCGCTGTTGCCGCAATGCGACAGGTTTGTCGACAACACTGGGAGTGAGCAACAAGTTGCCTGACTGTTGAACAATGTGTTGTGTTGCGGTTTCCGTCGTGTTGACTCGGTGTGACAGGGCGTTTACACAAGGAGTGTTTGCCGTCGCAACAGACGGCAGCAATGACAGCGAGGCCAAGCTATCTCGTTAGCATGAGCAATGCAAATGCAATTGAGTTGTCTTCATATAAATTGATCGTCAATATTTCTTTTAAAAAAAGAGAAGCTCCTCCCTTTTTGGTTTGGAAAATCTCCCAGATTTGGTTTCTCCAAGCTTGGCAGGTATGGTGGTAGCTCAATTATGATTGGCAGCGCTATCAGTGCTTCACCAGGGTGTTCGGTACAAGGGTCCCGCCAGATTTTGTCAGAAAGGGGTGCTAACAGCTACCACTGTAAAGTAAACTTCAGGGTCGAAGGAAAAGACTCGCGGGGGAAACATCTCAAACTCTGTCCTTGCATCTGTTTTCGGACTCAAAGGTTTATTTTTTCTCGCCAGTCTCGGGTTTTACGCGAGACTGTGGACTATTTCCGGCCCGCCTGTTCTGTGGCACCCGAAACGAGTCTTAGGCAGGCGTGCTTACCGTCCGCCTCCCTTGTGCGTCGAAAGCGGTGCCGAGGTGGCGACAAATCACATTGCTGTAGCCAGCGCACGGCGCTGTTGAACGTTGCGATTCTGGCAATCGGACGTGGCAATGCCGGTGAAAAGGGCAAGCAGACGTGGGGTTTGCTGTCGTCGAAGCGTCCCACCTCATTACCAGTTTGCGTGGACCTTCCGGCTGCGGCAGAACAGGCGTCCGTTGCATCTAATAGCGAGTTTGTTTCACACGCACTGGCACCGTTCGAGTTCTCTCCCAGAATGCATCGCACTCTCAGAGTGTTGCACGGAAAACTGGACTCAAACGAACTCGCCAAATGCACCGAGTGCAGAAGACTGATTCTGCCGCCATCTATGTTGTAGAAAAGGTACCGACTTTAAACCGAAACTAGCGCCTTTCTGATCGAAGTGATGCGTGGGAATGCGAGAATGCAGTCGCTACCAACGTTTATCTAGAAACGGTCGCTGCAACCTGTAGTTAAAAGTTGCGATGACTTCAAGCAGCTCGGCTGCCGTAGAGATAGTTACAGACGGCGTAAATTTCCGCAACCAGCTGTCTACAAAGCAGCTGGTTGCGATCTTTCAATTTTTATAACCGTTTACACTGAAGAAAACTGATGATGCTGTCCGAGCACAAGCATGATCCGTTTGAACATGGTATTATGCGTGAACCGCTGAAGAGGTGCAGCTTAAAACTAGCCTGTTGGAATATCCAGCAAAACTGGGACTTTCTATTTGGATCGTCATTATAGGTGGATCAGATATTAGCCTTGGTGAGGGCGTCGAGAACGAGAACATTCTCGAACAAAATACGACGGGGCAAGTTAGCTGACGTAGGTAAATGTTAAACATGATGATGTTGCCCAATCCTCGGGTAAAGTTACCATCTTTAGCTTTCTCTGATGCTTATTGAGCAGTCGGAGGTTTCTGCTGGGGGAGCTTTGTCGAAAAATGTTAAATTTTTCCCCCGCACACGGATGGTGATAGATATCTCGGGGGCCGCTGTTACGTTTGTTCTGAGCATTCCTTTACACACTGGTATATTTCAGCGTTTGTACGGCAACAGAGTGATTTAAACCCTGCAAATAAATCACGGGTTGTCAATTGCTTTCTTCGGGAAATAGCAGACGCTCACAATTCAAGCTCGCGTTTGATTTCGTGGCCCGCGGGACGCGATTTCTATCAGAAAATCTACTTTTTTTCCGTTCAGTTCCGCGACACATCGTAGCAGACGAACCCTCGTCGTCTGTTCCCGCTCCTCGCCGGCCCCGCCGGAGCGAGGCATGACGGGATTGCATTTTGGCGCACTCCCGATTTTCTCGGTGCAGCGAGTGCACGCACGCGTGGGGTGTCAGCGCTGAAACGAACTCGGAGAGTGCAACCACTCGTGGAGTGCCGGCCGAAACGAACCCGTTCCACGCTGCGAGTAAGCACGCGTGGGCACGAGTGCCGTGAAACGAACTCGCTATAACTCAACCGCCGTGATTGTGACGGGCAACAGCGCAACCCTCGAGCAATGTCGTGGCGCAAAAAAAAAAAAAACGCCACTTCAAAGCGGGCAGTAGGCACGCCGGTCGGAGACTCATTCTGGGCACCGCGCCGCCTTTCCGTTGATGCGCGTACTTGGGCGTGCAGTGCTGGCGGGGGCGTTGCTGGAGGAGGCGGAGCAGCTGCTGGACCGGGGCATCCACCCGATCCGGATAGCGGACGGCTTCGAGATGGCCGCCCGTTGCGCCCTCGCCCACCTGGACTCGATCGCCGAGAGCTTTGCGGTCTCCTCGGACGACAAGGAGAAGCTCATCCAGACGGCCATGACCACCCTGGGCTCCAAGATGTGAGCTCCCGTCTGCGTCGTCTTGCATTTGTGCGTTAACTCTGTCCCTAAGACATCCGTCGGCCATCGGTTGCTCCTTGTGGGGGATGTTTCAAACCTGCCAAAGTTAGAGTCCTAGAGATCTGAAGTTCAACCTTCGTGTGCGCAGGAGCAAGAATGTCAGAACTACCTGGCGCCACCTACTAGAGAAAAAGTAGTATTCGTTGGGTGTCCCGTTTAATTGTTTCACCCTAATAAACTAAAGCGTTAAAAGTATGCATTTGAGCTTTTATATTGTGTAAACATTACTAATCATTTTATAAAATTAATACTTTATAAATAATTTGTTTCCAAAAAGTATCAAATTTTTGTGTAGAAGTTGGGCAACCCTGTTCGTCTATCGAACTTCATTAAAAGCTTCGCCAAACCTCGAGGTTCCACAAGCGTTTGCGCCGTCCCTACATGTGGGTGACGATTCCTGCGCCCTGCCAAAATTCATATCCGACGCGTACCACCATCTCGCGGATGGCTGGCCAGTTCTTGTTTCGGCTTCAAAACGGTTGTTTCCGCACAAGGTGGTGGTGAGCCTTAGATACAGCATGGCAGTGGCACTTGCCAGACGTGTCGTCCTGCTTACATTGGGCACTGCAACAAAGACAACATCAATCATGCAATCTGTCTTGGGCTTGGTTATTGGATTACATCAGCAGTGAAGACTAGGATCATCTTATTTTAGCTTTTTCAGTGACGTTTCATTCCACGGGGCTTGCAAAACAAGAATTAAGGTGCTCGTTTAATTGCGAGGGTCGGACGAGTGCCTGCCAGTGATGTTGGAAGTGGGGTTGTCGGGTAAGGCGAGGCTCGTATTTAAGCAAGGTCCATACTATCTCGTCACATAGCAAGAGAGGGGAGGGGGTGGCTTTGCAGGATGATGAGTGCCTAATCCATTCTAGGAGGCATGCCGCCCTTTCACGAAGCCAGCCCGGGTTCTCTGGGCCGGCCAAGTGTCTCTTGGCAGTGCCCTTGAATGCCCTTGGCCACTGACTGCAAACCCTCGTCTAGAACCGAGCTGCCGGGTGCAACCCTCCAGTTTCCTAGGCTCCTCGTGTGGAGACACCTAATTGGATCGAGGCACCGCGGAAGTTTTTGTGGCAATATACTGGTTTCGTCTGCCCAATGCTCGAAAGCTTACTGCTCCCAAGATGCCCTGCCCCCTGTGGTTGCTCGGCGTAGATCTAGCTAAACTGTTAGGTATGAACTGCCGTTTAACATTGTCTGTGACAAAGGAGTAAGGGAAGTGAGAAGCAGGGAGTGTCCATCGGCCGTAAGCAAGGAACAGTCTCGATTAGAAAAGATTGTACGCAAATGGGCATTCCAGCATGTTGCGCCAAACTGGATAACGCACTCCGACATGTGTGTCGGACAGGCACGCTTCTGTATAAACTGCCTTAGAGTGTGGAAGGACTGGGAGGGGAGCAGGTGTGTGGCAGTGACTGGCCTGTGGTTTGCAGAGTGAACAAGTGCCACCGGCAGTTTGCGGAAATAGCGGTGGAAGCGGTGCTGTCGGTGGCCCAGCTGGACCGGGGCGACGTGAACTTTGAGCTGATCAAGGTGGAGGGCAAGGAGGGGGGCAAGCTGGAGGACTCCCTGCTGGTCCGGGGGGTGCTGGTCGACAAGGACTTCAGCCACCCCCAGATGCCCAAGGTGGGTCCCGGAGTCCGCACCCACCTGAGAGTTTCCACGGTCTCACGCATTCCGGCCGTTTCAGAACGGCGACTATTTTCTGCTTTCTTCCGTTGTTCTTTCTTCCTCTGGGGAACACCGATGTCGGCGCTTAAAGGTTTGCTGCGTTCTTCTCCCGTCTTTACCCTTCTGGCATGCACCCTAGACACCGGACGGGCGGCCTGCAGAATGCCCCCATCCGCAACGAAGAGCGGTGCTAGAGCACGGCCTTGAGGCCGCCTTCTCGAACCATGGTCTGGTCTCACTGTTGGACCACGCACACTGATGCAGAAGGCACAGTGGCCTCCCTCTACAGATGGCCATTTGCGATGGAGCTTGCCGCGAGCTCTTGCTAAGTGTACGGTCGTTGACAGGACTGAATGGCATCCTTCGTTCCGTTTTTGACGCAAATGCTCGGGCTGTATGGTGCTAATGTGCCGTCGAAAGTGGCGAGCCTGCAGTCCACTGCTGTGGTCGGATCTCGAGGAAGTTGTCTTCGGTCGTGTCACCGTTCGTAGCTGGAGTGCAGCTGATTGTACACTGGCAGTAGTTGTGCAATTTCAAAAGCGGGTCTTCCGGGGCTGCCCAACCTTGAAGGGCAACTCCACTCCATTTTTACGATTTTTGGGTTATGATCTGTTTAGTCAAAGTCGGCGACACTGAATCACGAGATATAATTTTTTCTTCAGTAGTGTGTATAGTTTTGTAGATATCGCGTATCCAAATTTCGGTCCGTCGGCACGGCAAAACCGAAACTACCGACTCAAACAGCTGGCAACGCTGATAATCGGCGGCTGTCGACGGCGTGACGTAGATCTCGTCCTGTGCTCCTGAACCGACGCACCGACACTGCCGGCTCAGTGGCACATAAAATTTCGAAACAGAAGATAAGTTGCGCATTTTCTTTTTTGCCGCTGCAGTTTGTAAGTGTGCCCCAAATGTAGTAAGTTTTAGTATGCATTTAAAAATTTGCCGGCCAAAAAGCGAACCCGACTGCTATAATTATGACTCGGTCAGGCCGGCGCAGCTTGACTCCATTTGTTTCTTGCTCGCGGACCAAGAGAAAAAGAAATAATGGGAGACAGATGGAGAGATGGTATCCGCATGCAGTCTAAGTTGTTAAAGCTAAGGTGCCTTCATGTGCACGCTAGTTAGATCAGCTGCTGCGATCGGCCGCTTTTGCTGGAGCAGCCGGTAGATGGTACGCGGACAGCGACGGCACCGCATCATTCTTCAAAGACCCATGTTTCGGGGAGAAACCCCGAAACATGGGTCTTTGGGGAGAAACCCACTGCAGCCACAGATACCATGCGCAGGTCTCTGGCTTGAAGTGCTGGGAGCAGAGCTTCGCGTTGAGCGCGAAGTCCACGGTCTTCCGAAGTCCATCCGACGAAAGGCACCGACCCACACCTTGTGTCCCTTCCGGTCTCTTGGGAACTGGTGGAACTGCAACCCCAGGTTGCACACCATATTGTTGGTGCCACCCACAGCACTACAAGTCATGCTCGGCATTGCCCAACGCGAGCCTGGCGAGTCTCTCCGGCTCCACGACATGCGCTTGAGCGAGCAGCACCGCTTCCCTCTCTTCTGCGCGGTCGCGGAAGCTGTGCTGGAATTAAATGAACTGCCAGGACGCAAATGAAAATAGGAGAACACAAAATAATGTGGTAAGCATCTCTTGCCGTCAGCAGAATCTCAGAATGCCACGGGAAACAAAGCGTCTGCGGCGTTCGTACGAGAGCACAGGACAAAACCTACGTCATTGCCCAGTGTTGCTTCACTAGCTCGCCCGGTGCCAGCGTTGCTTAGTCGCAGTCTGGCCGCTACCCCATTCGGTAGAACATTTTAAATATTGGTTTTAATTGGGAATGTGGCGTCGGTTTGACGTGATATTTTGGGTATGACTATATTTTGACCCCCTAAGGCGATATCAGCCATTTCTATAGGGTCGACTTTTTGAGTGGAGTTGCCCTTAATTTTACTTTTGCGGGTGAAAATCACCGCTCCGGTGCAACCTTTTAACAAACGGGTCTTTATTTTGCCAACAAAAGCATCGCTCGTGAAAGCGTAATTTGTGCCTCGGAGTATAATGTAAGAACACTCGTAGCACTGCTGCTTGTAGCCGTTCATACTTCGCTCTACTCGCGAGGAAAGTACTAAATCTGGTGCCGTCAAAAGGCACCTTAGGTTCACAACTGCTTGCTTGAAATGTAGCCTCTCTTCAGAGCAAAGCACATCCACTCACGAGAAATGTCTGCACAGTGTAGATACAAGACTCTATCTGCAATAGGGATACGAGGGAGGTCTGTACAGGGTGGAGGTACAAGGAAGGCCTATGTAAGTGAGAGGGATCTGTACACGGTGGAGGTGTTCTTTGCAGGAGGTGCGCAACGCCAAGCTGGCGATCCTGACCTGCCCATTTGAGCCGCCCAAGCCCAAGACAAAGCACAAGCTGGACGTGACGTCTGCGGAGGAGTTCCAGGCCCTGCGGCGCTACGAGCAGCAGCAGTTTGAGCTGATGGTGGACCAGGTGAAGGCGGCCGGGGCCAACCTGGTCATCTGCCAGTGGGGCTTCGACGACGAGGCCAACCACCTGCTGCTCCAGAGGCAGCTGCCCGCCGTGCGCTGGGTCGGGGGACCAGAGATCGAGGTGGGGCTCTCTCTGGGACAGACAGAACCTTTTTTAATGTGCGGCTTTTGTAGGGCCAGCTCTTCAGCGTTTTCCCGAAGCCTCAGGAGTGACGTCGCATGAAATGCGACTTGACGTGTCTTTGCAGTGGTATGGCGAGAGCAACAGGTGTAAGGAGACAAATTTCTTTTTTATGATTAGTAACTTTTTAAGCAGTTTTGTTTTGTCCCAGTGAGATTGTTCGTTGATTCTAGCAATACTAAATGCTACTGGCTTCGAATGAAATCCTGGGATTTGTCTGGCTTCTAAATTCTATTCTTAGGTTGGCGGCTCTTCGGCCTGCCCGAACGGCTCGGAATTAGAAGCCTCTTACCAAACCGTAGATGTGGGCATCCAATTGTCCAATTGCCGGTGCAGTTGAGTGAAGCGGTCGTCTAATTTCCAAAGGCATCCCTCGTCGACCGATGGAGCGGGTCCAAAAACTGGAGCTTTTAGGACTTCCCGGCAACTACCAAGCCCAGGCAACTGGTGCATTGCAGGGAAAGAAAAAAAAAATAGGGTTTGGGCTTTGACCGCGGGACCTCTGTTGGGCCCACTCTGCCCCCTTGGCTAGCAGAGTTAAGGCGAGACGCGGGTCTTAAAATGGTAAAAAATCGCGAAATTTGGGGTTTTTCAAAAATCACATGTTTGGATAGAATATAGTCTGAAGTACCTGCCTGCGAAGTTTCAATGTCCTATTCGACGTCTAAGTATAAAAAAAACGATAAATACGATGCCTCCGCGACGCTCAAATCGCGGATCCAACGCAAAAAAATAGTCAAACTGCGCGCCCGCGTCGCTTCACGACCGATCGTCGGATCGCGGCCATCTTGGTCTTGTTGGGGAGCTGGTTCTCTTCCCTACGTCCTCATCCCACTCACTATCGCGACAACCTTGGAGAGCGTCCGCATTCCGCGGGTTTTCACGACCGGAATAACGATTGCTCATTGGCCCGCGCGCGTACGTCACGGGTACGTCGTGCCGCGCGCGCCTGTCATAGGCCAAGACGCGCCCCTTTCCACTTTTGCTCCTTTCCTCCTCTTGGCGCGCGCGCCTCCAGCAGCGCAAGGGGAGCGTGGAGAAGCGTCGTCTGCTTCGTTTTGGCCCGTCGCTTTGTTCGTTCCGCGGCTGAGTGCACGTTGTTTCGAAATCGTTTACGTTCGCGCGTTCGCGTCGGACATCGTTGGTTTCTCGCTACGAAGTTGCGGGAGTTTTATTTCGAGCGATCGAGATGCCGGGGGACTCTCGATTGAAAGAGAGTACGCGGCGGACGTTCGGGAGGAAGACGCGACGTGCGTGGAACAAGCGGAAGACATCACCTGCAAGTGCGCCGCTACGATCTGCGCCACTGCCGAACGCATTGGATCTGCCGGGACCATCGGCTAGCCCTCCCGTTGACGATGCTGCGGCCTCAAGCTCTGGTCCGGATGGCTCAAGTTTTGCCGGCACCACTCGCGTCGACTCTACCTACTACTCTACGGCCGAGCAAGCGCAGCGCGCCGAGCGATCGGAGCAAAGCAAGCGCGTTTTATCGGAGAAGTCGGCGACCCAGCGGAAGTTCGATCTGCTTGAAGTCAACGGATCATGCCAAACAAGCGATGCCGAGACCCAGTTTGTCATCGTCGACATGAAAGTCCTCAACGACCTCTTCGCGCACGCGAGGTGTGGAAGCTGCGGTGTGGGATCTCTCACGCTCAGCAAGGCCGCGGACAAGGAGTACGGCTTGGCCGTCAAGCTTGTGCTCGTCTGCAGCACTTGCGACTTCCAGAAGAAGCAGTTCTCCTCTCCCAGGGTTGCTGGAACAGCAAAGATCACTCCCTTTGAAGTGAACATGAGGGCCATGAAGGGGATCCAGTCCATTGGCAAAGGAGTGACAGCCTTGGCAGACTTCTGTGCCTCCATGAACATTTCTCATCGGGGCCTGCACCACAAGACGTACCAGGGACACCTGAAAACGCTTGTGCGGGCATGTGAGAATGCAGCAACCGACAGTGAAGCCGCCAGTGTTGCTGTCGTCAAGGGGCTCTACACAGGCTTTATGAACCCCATTGGCAACATCGATGTCATCTTCGACGGATCATGGATGACCCGAGGACGCAGCTCCCACATTGGTGTAGGCTGCATTGTGGAGTTGTACTCTGGCCTCGTCATCGACCATGTTGTGTACTCCAACTTCTGCCTTGGATGTGCCTTGGGACCGGAGCCCGAGGACGATGGCTACAGCGACTGGTACGCAACCCACGACTGCCAGAGGAACATTGACTGCAATGCTGGCCGTATGGAGGTGGAGGCTGCGCTCACAATGTTCCAGAGGTCTCTGACCAAGCATGGTCTCCGCTACACCACCGTCCTTTCGGATGGGGACAGCCGGACATTCCATGCCTTGTCTGAAGCGAAGGTTTACGGCTTCATCAAGATAGAGAAGAAGGACTGCGTGAACCACGTCCACAAGCGGATGGGAGCTGCCTTGCGCAACGTTGTTGAGAAGAAGAAGGCACAAGGCGAGTCACTTGGTGGGAGAGGAAAGCTGACACAGGAAAAGATCAAGATCACTAACTATTACGGCTATGCTCTCAGGAGCAACAGCCATGACGTTCCAGGGATGAAGAGGGCGGTGGAAGCCACACTCCTGCACATGACCTCCACAGACGGCGCCCCAGACCACAGCAAGTGCCCCGAGGGAGCGGAGTCCTGGTGCAAGTACAACAGGGCCTTGGCAAACAGTGAGCCTCCGCCGCCGCACAAGAATCCTCTTCCGGATTGTGTTCGGGCTGCACTGGAGCCAGTGTTTGAAAGGCTCAGCAATGAAGACCTGTTGGCACGGTGTAGTGAGGGAAAGACGCAGAATGCCAGTGAGAGCCTGCATTCGGTGATCTGGACGCAGACTTCAAAGAATGCGAATGCCTCCCTGGACAGCGTGAAGAGGGCTGCGGCTGAAGCTGTTGCTGTCTACAACCAGGGAAGGAGAGCGACCAACGAGTCCATTGCTGCAGGCCTGGGCTACGCCACCGGTGACTGCCTTGTCCGCCGAAGCATCGAAAAGGACAGTCTCCGTTTACGTAAAGCAAACGCGGTGCACCAGAGCAGCAGTAGCGTGAAGGAAAGGTTCTCCAAGCGACACCAGGCAGGAGCATCACGAGATTACAGCCCAGGACAGCTGTAATGGCTTTTTCCAGTGCCATGTGGAACAAAGGCCCTTTTCAGGGCCAAACAAAATTATGTTTGGAGCTTGAAACTCTTGCTCGCCTCTCCCGTTGTCCAAAGTTGTCGGCTCATCACTTTAGAAGCAAGTTTTAGCCTATATCAGTAATTCTTCACCATTTTTGCAATCTGCTCAAAAACAAATTATTGCAATTTTTAAAATTATTTGTTCAGAACGCACTACACTACATCTTGATAACTATTATTGCATAAGGGTTTTCACATAATTTATTGTAGTCAGCGTCGAAACAGGAAAATGTGATTTTTATCAACATTTCACTCGTTCTTTACTTCGTTCATATTTTTTTCCTAATGTTCCCATAAATGGATTACATCATCTTTTATGTCAAGTTGTTCATGAAGACTTACACTACACCTTGGTGGCAATTATTATTTATCATTGTTCACACAATTTTCTATGTTCAATGTCAAAACTTTAACTTTGATTTTCTCATCTTCATGTTTTTTGTCAACGTGCTTAGCCTTACGGGGGTTTTCATGAGGTTTTTATCGTAGCATTTTGAAACTTTTTATACCGTTTTATTCAGAAAGGACTGGACTATGGAGTAAAGCTATTTTTTTGCAGTTTATAATGACAACGAAAATTTTATGATAAATAATGCGACCTCATTAGTGTCATAATTAGCATAATTAGTACATTTTTGTATTATAATGTAATTATGTGAAAATATAAATAGCTTTATAATGCATGGCAGACCTTTAGCTATGCATCTACATCAATAAAAAAAAATATTTTTGTTCGAAATGGCCTTAACGAGCCGTAAGAAATTAACCAAATTAGGCAACACTATTTTTTATAACTTGAAAACTAATTGAGATATTTTGAAACTGATTTCATATTTGAAGTGAGGAAGAAGGAACACATATGCACAGTGATTTTCATTAGTATAGCTGCAAAAATAAAATAGTCCATTTTAGAACCAGTGTCTCGCCTTAAGTGGGAGGTGGGGACAAAAAATTTACTTTTTTTAATTCTAGAGAATCCCTGAATGAAAATTTTAGGGCATGTTTATACCGTAAGACTAACTGCAAAGTTTCATGAGGCTGTGATTATTCATTCTCAAGTAAAAAGAGCTTATCAAGGTGGCTTATGTGTCGCTTATCCTCGTCCTGGAGAATCTGCAAAAGGCAGCGGCAGTGTGAAATTCGTCATGGTGACCGCTAAATAGGTACCCCTGGGAATCGCAGAGCCTTTTTTAATTTCTCTTTGCAGGAAAATTTTAGCACAACGTTGAAGTTTCAGTTTTCGACCAAATACACGTTCATAATAAGCCCGCAATCTCGGAAGAAACTGCAGCGGTCTATGTGCTCGGGAGACCACGCATACTCGCAGCGACGACTTCTTCCTCGGCGGCGACAGCCGATGGCACGGAAGATCCAGTACTGGAAGCATCAACCTGACGAGCATTGGCAGCACGCTGTGCAGAATCTTTCAACTTCGCCATCCTGATCAGCTTCATGGAGCGCATATGCACGCCGAACGAGCGTGCCGTCTTGTATTTCGTTTCACGCATCGTGTGCAGTTACGAAATAGACGGGCAAGCTACAAGAAACTGCTCAAAGTTCAGCAGGAACGATCGTAAAGAAGGCGAAAAGCGAAGCGCAACTAACAACTGCCGTAGCAGACGACGCGAACGGCAGCGATATGAGAAAACGGAGAGGAGGGGTGCACGCCGTGGCCAATAGTAGCAGCGTGCTCCCTTGCGCGCTTCAAGAGTATGCACTTTGTCCAATCACGGCTATGCAATTGCGACATGCGCCAACTGCGGAAACCACGAGGCTGACACCAATTTGAAAATCTGGAGAAGGAAGAGAAAGAACTCACAGTCAAAACATGACAAAAATGGCGGCCGTCGGTCGAATTTAATGGGAGTGCTGATAGCGCTTACTTTCAGTTGGTTTCGGCGCTTGATTGCCACTTGGAAGCTACCCTGGCCCTGTAGATATTTTATCAATATTTTCCCGGTGATTTTAGTGGTGATAATTAGAGGATGTGGATTACGAGATATACAACCCAAAAATATGGTTTTCAAAGAATAGACTTTATCGCAATTTTTCATTTTAAGTTCCCTTAATAGTGCTTTTAGGGCAAGGTCTTCGCAAAGACCTTGCTTTTAGAACAAGGTCTTTGCGAACGGTCTTCCTAGATTTTTGCGAAAGGTCTAACTGCACTTCATCTAGGGTGGAAGCATCGTTCATTATTTCACAAGTGTTCCAAGGGAACTTCCCCTCGGCATTTCTTTGTATCTGGTGCGAAGACTCCTCTGCGCCATTGTTGTGTACCAAGCATACTCTTGCCAACCCAGTGTGTGCTCCTTGCAGCTGATCGCCATTGCCACGGGCGGCCGCATTGTGCCCCGCTTCAGCGAGCTGAGTGCGGACAAGCTGGGTTCTGCAGGCGTGGTGCGGGAGCTCTCGTTCGGCACCACCAAGGACCGCATGCTGGTCATCGAGGAGTGCCCAAACTCCAGGGCCGTCACCATCTTCATCCGGGGCGGCAACAAGATGGTACGTCCTCGGGAGAGCTGCGCTTGCCTTCGGAAAGCTCGCCGGTGTCCGTGACGGGACAGGGCAACTTGTCCAGTCTCCCTTCTATTTGTTATATTTTCGTAGCTTATTTTAACTTTTACGGCGCTCAGCTGTGCTTTGTAAATCCTGAACTCTGCAAACAAAATGAGTTTATCCTAGTTTGGAGCCCCTCTTTCTTGGTGCCATTCACCACCAGTAGCTAAAGAAAATAGAATGGCTCTCAGCTGATGCCACGACCCATGGGGGCCAATCCAAGACTGAGAGTTTTCCGTGTCCTTTGAAAGGAAGTCTTGCGACGCGCAGAAAGCGTAGTCACACGCTAGGTTCAAAGAGCTAGGATGACTCAGAGAGTCTACTGCAGCCAGTGTAGTAGGCCCGCTTTGTAACTCGGGGCATGTGTTTTTAGTGTTTTCAAAATTCACCTTTCTTTGATTTGGGGTCTGGCACATTATTGTTGGCCATTTGATGAAGCTGCACCAAATGCACCGTAAGGGATGTCTCCACAATGGCTCCCTCGTGCAGAGTGAGTGCGAGATTAAAACACCCTTCCCGAACCATGGTCTGACTCCGTATGGGTCATGCACACTGATGTGGAAGGCACAAGCTCCTCTCGGCAAATACATATGCACTAAACTCCCGCAGCTGGCTTACGGTAGCCTCTCAAAATATGTCCTAGCGATTTTTCACCTCTGCAAATTCCATGCTCTCATTGTTTGAGTCAAAGTAGCGGCATGGCCTGGTTAGTTTGTGCCTAAGGTGAGTGTATGTGGCACGTAAGACTAAATGTTCACCGGACAAGTGCCAAACTCTCAATTAAATATTTATTTGTTTGTGGCCAGCAGTAGTAGGTATGGTTTTGTTTGGGCAGATTATTGGTAGTCTCCTGAGGCATTCTTTGCACGACCTGTGTTCAGGTCTTGGACGATTGAAAACTTAAAACATTCCAGGATAAGACCAAACCGACGCTTGTATGTGCGCGAAGACCGCGTTGAACTTTGAATCGTTAAGGGGGACACTACCCAAAAAAGTAAATTTTTGAACTACTTGTCTGATTTAAATTATACTTACAGGGCTTGTTTCTGTTGATGTTGTGAATATTTCTGCCAAATTTTGTTAACCTGGGTGAAGTACAAAAAAAAACTGCAAACGTTCAAAGATGAAAGTGGCGTGCCTGCGTAGGAAAACTATCGTTTTGAAATTACTTATAAATTTGTCGTTTTCATGTGTTATATTGCATTAGGACAGTTCAGAGCAGATAAGTATGGAGCTATATTTCTGTTACACCATCTTTCATGACAAAAAAACCGCATAAACACAAACAGTTTTTTAAATTTCCATCTTTTGTCCAAAAATTTTGTTTCTGAGCATGAAAAATGACAAAAATAAAAAAATACAAGCTCATAGTTATCTTCCCCTTAAAATTTCACCCCAGAAAAACTGATAAAGATTAATCCAAGTTATATAATAAAAATCAGTAGTTTTCCTAGAGTGAAATTTATGCCAGAGAGTGGAATGGAGAAAAATGTGTTCAAAGTGCTCCAACCTCTACCTTTTCTTTTGCGTTGGTGGACCGAAAATAATTTATAAAAAATTAACTATGCAGTACAATCTAATGAAACTTTCTGGGAATACCCTCTAGATGTTGGTGGATGTAAATATGACATCTTTCAAAATAAACTTTTTTTTTTCAGAAATTGTTTTTTCTGGGTAGTGTCCCCCCTTAAGTGCTTCATCTGTTCAGCGTAGTGAACATGGCCCAAGCGAGGCAGCAGTGCCGGCAGCTTGCCTTTCGCAAGAGACAGATTGAATCTTCTCCCGCATGGACAGGGCCAGGTTGCATTGCTTGTGCGCGTCGAACGAACCGCGTTGATGTCCCCTTGCAGATTGTGGAAGAGGCCAAGCGTAGCCTGCACGATGCACTGTGCGTGATCCGCAACCTGGTGAAGGACAACCGGATCGTGTACGGAGGAGGAGCCGCCGAGATCTCCTGCGCCCTCGCCGTGGGCACGCAGGCGGACAAGGTGAGCCTTTTACTTCCCTTTTTTTTATTAGGAAACTACACGAAACCTCTTTGCTAGTAGCTACACCGATCGTTGCTACGATTTAAATGGCAGCTGCAAGCTGCTAGTTGTGGTGCAGAATGATGAGCCCCTAATCCATTCTAGGAGGCAGGTCGCTCTGCCGCGAGGCCAGTTCGGGTTCTCCGGGCGGGCCGAGCGGTCCATGGCCGTGCCCTTGAATGAGCTTGGTTTCTGACCGCACCCGCACAACCCAGGGACAATAGACGAATGGAAGGCTTTGCGCATTGGCGTTGGGGGGGGTGCACTGTCCCGAGCGAACCGCAGCTCATCATACTCAGTTTCGTAAGCTCTATGGAGTGCCATCGAAGACTGGAGCATGGGCACATGCAAGGATGGCTCATGCATTCGGCACTAGTGTCGGCATTTGTTCAGCACTTTGTTGCATGTGTAGACGGGGAATGGTCGGGCGACGGGTAGCGAAACGCTCGTACAGTGAAGATGTAGCACAGACTCAGCGCGTGTGTATAAACTGCCTTAGAGCGTGGAAGGACCGGGAGAAAGCCGCTGACTGGGGGCATGGCTGGTGCAGATCTCGACGCTGGAGCAGTACCCGTTCCGGGCGTTTGCGGACGCTCTGGAGAGCGTGCCCCTGGCCCTGGCAGAGAACTCCGGCCTGGCCCCGATCCAAACCCTGACGGAGGTGAAGGCCCGCCAGGCCAGGGAGGGAAACCCCTGCCTGGGCATCGACTGCCTCGGAAAGGGCACCAACGGTACGTCCAGCCCCCTTCTCGCCGCCAGCATACCCCCGGCATGAGGGGGGAATGGCAGACGGGAGACATTTTCACCCAATTCCCCAAACACAAAGGAAAATGCTGGGAATGTAGTTACACGAGCTGCACTCCCTAGCCTTTTTCAAAAAATACGAAAGATTTTATGCTAATACTCTACACAACTTAATTTTCCCGAAATTTGCAACTCTAATAATATCGCCAAAAATATATCCCAACAAAAAAATGGCGTACTATCCCGATTCGCTAAAGCTTTCTTTTGTGCTGGCGAAATATTTTGGAAAGCCAGAGTTATCCAAGTTTGCGAAATATTCAGCCCCTCGAAAATAGTCATTTACAGTAACCAAAGTAGGGCGGTAATAAATGCAGACACGAACTACATCATGTTCTAGATTTTTGCTTCGAATAATTACTGCTGCAGGTGCCGGCGCATGCAACACGTGTAACTACGACCGAAGCCATGAATATCCAAGAAGTGTTACACTTCATTAAATCGAGGATTTCATGTTCAATTGAAGTTCATTACATCGAGGTTCAACTGTATTGAGCCTGTAGCGTGTGATCCTCCTCTTGCTGGCCCATTTCTTGTGCTGGGCATTGAAGCTACAATGTGCTTCTTTGGAGACTTGAGGCGGTTTGTTAACAGTCCGAATATTACCTGCCCGGTGAAATTGCACCAAATGCACTGAAGGGCTGTCTTTTCCTCGACGCTCTGGTGCAAGAGGAGTGCTAGAGAAAGCGACCTTCCCGAACCATGGTCTGGCTCCATGTGAGTCATGCACACTGATGTGGAAGGCACAATGATAGTTTTCGTAGCTGGTAAGCTGTGAGCACATTGCTTGTCTGGATTGAGATAATGAAACTGTAGGAAGCAATGCGCATCAGCCAGCATGGAGATTTAAACGAATGATCTTTTATTTAGCGCGCTCGTGCTCAAACCGTGGCACCGCTGAGAGACATGGTGCCATCGATCGCTGGTTACTACAGAAACCTGGTTTTTCAGACAGCAAAACTAAGGATCGCAGAAAGCTGAAACTCTGTGAGAATATGGCGCCAGCTGTGGTGATAAAATGCAAAATTTTGTGCACATGTTGCCTCAAATTTCGGTTTGATGAATACTAAGCTTAGGTGGACGTAGACTCGAAGAAGTTTTGTTTTCTTTTGATCCTGCTAATGTCATCGGCTGCGCGATTTTGATGCATTCACAATTTTGTGCGCCTAGCTGCACCAAAAGTGTGAAATCGATGAAAATTGTGCCATGCTGTGCCATAGATGACACAATGCTGGATTTAGCCTGAAGTGAAAGCTCTGTTGACAACATTGGCTATACCACTGCCAGGTGGCGCAAGCTGCCACCCAATCTCTTAGTTCATCCATACCTGTCTACCCATCTAAAAGATCTTTTGTGTCCTAGCCATTGTACCGTCACATTGTATATTGTACATGTATGATCCGTAATGCAACATATCATGTAGCATTTATGTTGTTGCGTGGTGCACCTTCATTTTTAATCTAAATGCAATAATTTTTCACACTTGTAGTACAGATGTAGTTAGCTTTAATCGTAAAGGTGGTGCAACAACTGGTTAGGATGCTTTCTTAAATGATGTCACGGTTCCTCCTAAGGCGCTCCCAACTATTTTTTTTATGCTTTAGCCAAGGGGGTTCCGCAAAGCCGTATTTCATCGGTCCAGCGCGGCAGTAAAGATTTCTTTTCTCAGGTCTAGAAGAAATGTATCAGCTTTCGGGCGAGTTTTCTTGTGTCTGTGTCAATAAGGGAGATCTACTTCACACTAGCCCTTAGTTATATCCATTTATTCAATAATTGTTATATTTAACGTATTCATTTGCCCTCCTCACCACTAACGGGGTCCTCCATCATCCCCGCCGATCCACAAGGGGTCCACAAAGCGTCGATGGTTGTGTGGTTTTTCTGCTCCGAAAATTGCTCCAAACCCAGTTTGGTCTGTCCTACACCTGCCATGTTCTCAAACTTTCGCATGTTATCACCAGCACTAGCGTCACATTCTTCCCGAGTTTCGGCTTTCTGCAATGCACAGTTCATTTATGCGAGCTGAAAAACTGTTCCATTTTCTCAAGTCATACATGGGTGTCTTTGTTTTCCAAAGTTTTTTACCGTAAAGAATTGAATGAGAAGCCATTGTAGATTGTGTGTGAAGAGTGACCGACGTCCCTGTTCCTGCGCAGACATGAAGGAGCAGCACGTGATTGAGACCCTGACGAGCAAGAAGCAGCAGATCAGCCTGGCCACCCAGCTGGTCAAGATGATCCTCAAGATAGACGACATACGCACCCCCGACAACTCCCTCGCCTAGCCGCCTCCTCCTGGCCACTAACTTAAAAGCTTTGTTTTATCCAAAGAAAGCCCTCGCTGTCTTTTCGACCCGTTTTTTGCACTCTGGCAAGGTGGAGGTATTCTGCCGAAGTTTATGTAAGAAGATGCAAGCCACGTAACATTGAAGCTTTGTTTTGGACATGTGTTGGGGTCAACTCCACCGAAAGAATGAAACGAGTGTCTTCAAATAAACAATTTGTGAAAATAACAACCCCTTGCGATGATAATAATGGTGATCTATGAAAATAAATACAAAAAAGCAAAGACTGCTGCTTTGCTTTTGTGGGTAGTGCTAGTGGCAACATGTGCGACCAGAGTCGCTGCGGTCCACATTCCACGATTGGTCAAACACCACAATCGTCTCCATGCACACTCGTGCTGCCATTGTTCAGTGCCTAGGAAGTGCAAATGATTTTTAGCCACTTCAATAAAAAAAAAAGAAAAAAAAAAGTGCAGATAAACAGATTTGCCGGTTTGTGAGAAATGAAAATGTGCCAATTTTTCAACTCCCCTTTCTATGTCATAACATAAGGAATCTGGGTTTCACAAGTATATAGTGACCCAGCTCCACGAATGACATTGCCTACCTTTGGTGTCGCTAACGAAATTTTTTTTCTTTTTCATTGCCACCAGATTCCTGGAAAGCAGGTGTGAAGAGTGCTCGTTTGTGGAGCTCTTTATACATAAATCACTTTTCTGCATGAAAACGCACCAAAGAAACTAATGCTGCGAGTTCTCTTGTGTCCAAATAAAGGATCTGAGTGAGGGCGACTCAGTGCATCCATTTGTCCAAAACAAAGATGGGTAGTAAAATGTCGTTCTACAGGCATACGAGGGTGCATTGATATGGAAAGGACTACAAATGAAAAAAGAATAGACCCTTTCCAAAATTCAGTGCCATCTGGTGGTTCGTAAAGCAGTTTAGGTTTTGCCATATTACTGGCAGAAATGAACTTGTATCGGCACTCACTTTCGCAATTCAATGGCACACGAGGAATTGTTCAGTTTGAGTTCTTTCTCTATCACTTTCAGCTCGATGGGGACCAAAAACCTGCATTCAGAACAAAGCTCCAACCCACTCGGATGCCTCAAAATTTTGTACACCAAAGTGCTTTAGAGCCAATAATCGTGTGCCGCCCATAGATCGACTGAATCCGAGATACTAGAAATAAACGCTTGTGTAGCTCGTGTTCCATTTTAATGTCGCGTCGTACTGACCCCCGAATGTACAGGCTTCACAACATCCGCTTAGGAGCATCTTCAACCTCTTCCTTTATCATTCACTAGAAAGCCGCCATGGGTATGGCACAAATGCCGTTCCACAGATGATAGTGATCAAAGTGGCCAGACTGAACTTCGGAGAGGGTCTATTGGTTTATAATAAATTTTGTTATAAAGCTGTGCCACTGATTATGGACCAGCTACCTCAGGCTAATGAGCAAAGAAGCTCTCTGCTGTAGCTAAACGAGCGACCAATGCACTGTTCCCATTTGACTATTCAAAGCCTCGTCAGACACTACAGAGAAGTTGACTACGAGGGATAAGTGAATAAATACTTCATTTTAGTATAACTTGGCAAAGAGCGCAGGTTGCGACCCCCTCGACCCAATCAGATCGGCAGAGTGAAACGTGACCTCTCTGCAGAAGTAGAGCACTCCGACGATGTCTCATCGTTTGCCTGGCTTCAACGTGCCAATTGGCTCCCTGCAGATGCAGCCTTTGCCATTTGCCAAGTTATAATGCTCCGGGGAAGGCCTCCAGTCAGACTGTATAGGGGAGACATATTTCCAGGAGGCATCTTGAGCCTAAAACATTCACTGCACAGCCAGCAAAGTGTGAAGTGCAAGGTAAACAGTGTATGCTGCTAGAATGGAAAAGGAAATGCCGAAAAATTAAAGCGATTTCAATTTGCCAGATTAAAAGAGGGTAAACTGGAATTACCATTCAAAGTTGCACTAGGGTAGCAGTCATCTATAGAGAATGAATTTTGTGACAGCTTCTGTAAGACTTCTTGAGAATTTGGAGCTGCAGCATGCAGATTAGGTTTCAAACGGCCTTTTGTAGGATTAGCACTGGCAACATGGGATAAATGCTCGAATTCCTAAATATATCGACACATTAAACTGATATTCTTTCAAACCAAATTTCTGCAAACCTAGGCAGTAATTGAAAGATGTAGCCAAATAAAGGGAGGGGGGGGGGGGGGGGGGGGGTTAAGTGTGATTTATGTTGGATTTACTCTTGCCGCTGTACACTGATGCAAAGGGTGTAATCCTACATCTATGGCGTAGTCCTTGTTCTGGATGTAGCGTGCTCGTGCTGTGCGTAGTGTCTTATGATGGGCTGCGCAGCTACAGTTACAAATATCGGAGAGTGATGCACAGCGCTCGCCCACAAAAAGAATCTACGACACTCAAGACTGAAACCGCTTTCCACGTCGTGGAAACCCGAGACCGAAAAACAAAAGTGGATAACACGGACGAACAAGCCATTTTTCGTTCTGCAGTCTCTGGTCTCGGCGATATTAAACTGTTTGCCCACATCTTTCTTGTTATTTTCACTTCCCCTAGTGTTCATTTTTAGGTGCGTATTTAAAGAGGCCGCGAAATTAATTTTGGACAGAGATAAATAAATATAGATTGAGATTTTACTAATTGCATATCATTTAGTAAGCCAAAAGAAAGAGGGTCGACATTCAAAAGCCTGCTTTTCGATACAAAAGTTTGAAAGCATAGCAAACTATTTTATCTTCGGAAGCCTTTTCGCCGCGATACATCCGCACCACCCAATGCATGTCGGCCGGCCCCAGCTCGCGCATTGGACACGAGCGTTGCATCACTAAACTATCTCGCTATACTTTGTTCACCTCTAAGCTGACATTGTGGTGGGAGCTACGCGCTTGCCGGACCAATCAGCCGCCCCCCTTTCGTCACCCGACCCCTTCCCAGCGCGTAAGTATGCGCGAGGGAGCGTGATCATGTGGCAAAAGATAAAAATGACTGATACAACGTGCATGTAGCTTCCACAGCAATGCCAGCTTACTGGTGAATGGAGGATAAATACCAGTGGCACTGCAAAAGCCATGGCCAGGAGAGGGGGAAAGCAACTTTTGTCCAAATTTATGGTGGCAGCTAATCTTCTAGGGGGAGAATGGCGACGTGCGGGTACATGAGGGGAGGCCCGAGCAAGGAGGGATCGCATTTAACTTATTTCTGAATGTGGGAGGTATGTTTCAATTTTTACAGTGCAGCTGTCAAGGGCTAGTTTCCCCTGTTTCGTGTCCGTGGACAAATAAATCTTGACACAAAACTCAGGACAGCTACTGCCATCTATGAGCGACAGCGGCAACCAGATAACCAGCTTGCCGGTTGTCTGGCTGCCGCCGTCGCTCATAAATGGCGGCAACCTTTCCAGCCTCTCCACTCTGGTCTTCACCAAAGTAGAAAGGCTGAATTTCTCTAGGCGTCGTCCTGGAAGTCGTCCTAGACGTTGTCCTTGAAGTCGTCCGAGAGGTTCTCCTCGAGGTCGTCCTAGAAGTCATCTTTGAGGTCGTCCTAGATGTTGTCCTCGAGGTTGTCTTAGATGAACTCCTTGGCGTCGTCCTAGACATTGTCCACGAGGTCATCCTTGAGGTCGTCCTAGGCGTCGTCCCTGAGGTCGTCCTAGGCGTCGTTTGAGAAGTCGTCCTTGAGGTCGTCCTAGATGTCATCCTGTAGGCGGCATCCTTGAGATCGTCCTTGAGGGCATCCGCTGCTGGTCTTCTTTCTTCACCAGAGTGGAATACTGAAAGTTTTTTTCAGTTTCCCTTTAAAAACAAAATTTTCGAAACGAGGCATATGTGACAGGATCTGGACATTGGGCAATCGGGCCACACTCTTACTTCCCAGGCCCAACAGTGCGGCCTCCCATTGCATGCCTCAAGGCCACGCCAGCGTTGTCTTCAGTCTACAAACACCGCAAGATTAAACAAGTGATGTATACCAGCATTGGAACTGCAGGCAAACCAAATGTGCCCCAGTGGCTGGCAAAATTCATATCAATTAGCTCGTTAATCTGCTTTGCACCTTGTAGTGGAGGGGCACAATATGGTACACTGCAACTCTGCCACCAGGGATGGTTCGGCGCACGGTGCAGGTTCAACTCTGCACCATGCGACCCTGTGCACGGGGCTAGTGGCAACGGTCCCAGCTTCAACCGGGAAAGATTGGACGTGGAAGTGTCCACAACCTCCGAGAAAAGACGGCGATTAGAGTCCTTTCCACAATGTCCCTGCAGCACACTTTCCAGTCCTCACGGAGGTTGCCCTCCGAGGCAGCCGAGAACACCCAGGCTGTCCAGCTCTGCCAGAGCCAGCGCCTTCCACCCACGGTTGGCTTTTGGACTGGCTGGGCTCGGGTGCGTAAGGCAGGCCACCGTGGGACTGCCCAGGGAGTCGCCCACCTTGCGCATTACCGCCGATGCCCGGTCCCTGGCGTAGCAGCCGACACCGAGCACCAACTTCGGCCGCAGAAGACTCAGCACCGCCACCAGGGCATCGTCACACACCGCCTGCAACCAGAGGTCTGCATTTTAGCTCGAACTCGCTCTTCACAACCAGCTTGAAAATGAAAAAAATAAAAAAATAAAAGCTTTTCCTTTGTCCTTAAAGGGGCCCCGCAATCCTATTTAGGCTACTACGTTCTTTTGCGGTTTCCACATCTTTTGTGGTTCAGGCAACCCAGCGGGTGCAGAGAGAGTCACTAAATATCAGTGCGTCATATTTTAACAGGATGACACGGAAACCTCCTCCTCCTCCTATGGGAAAGCCCCATGGTGCCAAACGCGCAAGGCATGTGACAAATTCGTGACGTCGTCGGTCAGCTCCTGCCTTACGACCGGTCAGAGCCGCTAAAAGCTTTTTTTTACTCGAAATACAAAATATAAGTGGCGCAAACCGTTTCTATTATTTATGAAAGTAGTTTTTGCTGAGCATTTTAGATGAGAAAAGAAGCAAATGCAGTTTAGAAAGTATGAAAACAAGAAGCAATGCGCAATAGCCCGTCAACATACCCGCCACCAAGCGGTGGAAGAGGTGGCGCAGGTGCCCCAGCGGATCCTAGCAGACAACGCAAAACGCCAGTGGCACATTCTACAAGAAACAAAAGTATGAATATGTCTCCTGTGGTCTCGTGCCACAGGAAAAACTTGCCCAGAACTTGAGCGTCGTAGACTCCGGACGCTTACGAGGAGTGTCCTCGTTTGGTACTACACCCAGCTCCGCACTTCTATCAAGGATTCGGAGCTCCAACTCCGAGACCCGTTAAATTCGTGCCGGCAAGCGCGATGGAGGGCTGAGGCAAGCAACGAGCCGTTGACATGCATGCGGCTCTAGGGGAAGCAACCATCAACGTAAGCCGCAGCCAATTGGCCAGTCACTTCGCTTCTACCATTGGCCACCCAAGCCAAGACCAGGGACGTCATGAAGAAAATTATTTTTTGCTTGCTTTTGTAATTTTATTTTGCTTTTAAAATAAAGCCGATTTCGAGAAAAGAAAAGTTTCACTGAGTTGCTACGTTCGGTGCAAATTAAAAACCAGTCAGGACGTTGTTTAGCTCATGACCAGAAACAAACTCAGAACGCTCACCCTAGCGGCTACCCTCACCTTTAACCTCTTACTCTCAAACACGCACATTTCATGAACTCACCTAACCCATGCACTCAACAAGCTTATGAACTCAGTCATAAACTCATCAAACTTATGAACTCACAAACATTGTGAACTCATAAAGTCACGAAGCTCATGAACTCACAAATTGACTGAACTCGCACTGCTCACCGAAATTGCACGCACGCCAGACTCATGACCTTCACCCTCTCAGACATGCTAGCTCTCGAGGCTTACGAACTCATTTACACCTCAAACTTAACGGTCAGAGTGAGTGAGCGAGCTTTGCTAGACTATTTCCCCGATGACGTCGGGGCACTTGCACTGTGCTCGCAGCAATTCTCCAAAAGCTCAAAATACACAGACACCAATATCCCAAAAGTCAGTGCATGTTACTTCTCGCCAGAAGGGGACGCCTCTCCTTTAATATCTTTTCAAATGCTCCTAGTCTGCTATTTCAGTCTGCATCAATACTGATAGCCCTGGGCTACTGGAAAGCAAGAGGTTGGCTTGTAGATCCCTAGTTGGCAGCCGAGGTACCTTCAATCTGATGATCTAATGTCGTGTTAGGTTGCATCTCGACAGTCCCCAGTTGGTAAGGTTTTGTCGCTGGCGTGTGTTTCAGACAGAGGGGTTTGGGGCATGCTGCACTTTCACTTCGGCATCAGTACCTCAGCCCCCAGCTATGGTATGGAATACTTTGGAAACATTCATTGACTTCAGTGAGCACATTTTTTTTTATACCCATCAGATTGGCGAACAAAAGAACATATTTGGAGAACATTTGCGGAGCCTAGTTGCTCTCGCCACACTTCACCTAGCTTAAAGCAGAGATGCATCAGTATGCAAAAGAGGATGCAAGCACCAAGGTGTACACATTCAGGATTGCCAAAACGGTGAAAAAGATGCTAGAGGCAGTGAAGCTGTTTCAGTATTGACTATAGTCGGCGACAGGTTGGGAACCCAGAAGGTGCTCTGCTTTGAGTGCAAGTTCTCTGAATTCGATAACATTTTGTTGTACACACAGTCGGAGCCAGACAAAAGGCGTTGAGTGCCTGCCGGAGGCAAAGCCTCTACTGGGATATTAACCAGTCACCAACTATAGTTAATACTGACAAATGCTCCTCTACCTCGAACGGTTGCAACGTACAGCCATTCGGAAATGCCAGCCCGACCTTTTGACCATGGGCTTAAACGTCCACATAAATGTTGCTGCACAACAGGGTCATGACAGGAGCTAAATTAAGCACATTCCACCGTGCAAGCCCCTGCTCACTTCTTATTGAAAGGAGGAGCCAGCATTTCTGTAACTGTGGAAGCTACAAATGGAGGCCGTGCACTAACCGTGGTCAATGCTCTCGCAGTACTTGCCGAGGCTCAAGCACATCTCTCTCCATTGCGAATGTCCGGAGAAAGCTTATCGACTAGAAAAATCTTGTCAAAGTATGCTTCAAGGTCCTAATTACTTCAGGCAGCGTAAAGGTGTTTGATATGTATAGTGTAAACAAATCCTTCTCACAATCAAAGTAGTTTTTTCTTCCTTCTAGAGCACGAGTTCTCAAACTTTTTCGTCCCAGGGAACCCCAGCGAGCCTCAAAAAGTCCCAAGAAACACCCCATCCCCCGCCTTGTTGCCAACCAACAATACTGGGCGATAAAGGTGTTTAGATAGAGAACAAGAGTTAATTGCACTGACAGAACAAGACAACATGGAGGGCTACAGACAGAATAGGAAGGAAGAGGGGTTAACCTGGGGTACAATGTAAAATATATATACCAATTCATGGCTCAGTCCGTGGAAGGTTAAACTAGGGGGGGGGGGGGGCACTGCAATTTGGGTGCTCGCCAAACCGCTGTATTCCACGAAACCCACTTTGAGAACCTCTGTTCTAGAGCAATTCTGGGCGGTTATTTGTTTTCTTTTATTTTCAATTCTGGAGAACTCAGTAAGGAGACAACCTAAATTGCAGAGAATGGAGAATTTAAAGGCAGTAAATCCTTTGAACACCCGATTTTGCAGCAAAAACTAAATGCCAAAAAAAAACTCACTATCAAATCATACAGAACCCTAACGTGATCCTCCCTCCCTACCCCCTCATGCCTTGGCGCAAGACCCACGCGCAATGCCAAATCGGCCATGGACGTGGCGATAGGACGCTAAACACAGCGGCCGCAGACACATTGCAGGCACCGTAACGCCGGCTCATGGTCGTCTCCTCACCTGCATGGCCGAGCGGGCTTGGGCGGGCAGCTTGTTGGGGGTCAGGTTCGCCCCCGAGGGCATCAGGAACACCAGGGGGCAGTAGTTGTGCACAAAGCAGGGTCCAAAGAACGCATGTGCGCTTGGACACAGCTCTGAGAAGAGGCCCCAGAAACGCTGGCCGCTCACCTGCAAACAAGCGACTGTTTTTTGTTTTTTTTTGACATTGCGATTGCACAATGGAAGAGTTAGGCCACCATAATCCAATTCAAGATCCGAGAAAAAAGAGGCGTTATGTTTGACATACATAGAAAACCATGCCATCCTAGTCTTACACATATCATTGCGTAATCACCGTCACCAGACATGCCGCCCTGCGGTGCCGCGGCTCTCCCGAGCCAATAAAAATCATTAATATTATTAGATGCGTCATTTCACCTTACCCTATAGTCATTCGGTGCAAAGCAGCGGCAGTTAATATGTGGCTTGCACTTGGTGATTTGACCATAACTATACAATACGAAACACAAAAATAATATTGCAGCGATAAAAAAAATTACTACAGGGTGATTTCAGATAAGATCGACCGAAGGATGGCTAGTCGACATTTTCAAATCAACTGATGTTTTTATATGTTATTGTCTAGTGTCTGGTATGAACGAATTCAAACTTAGTTTTGACTAGAAAAAATACTTGGGGACAGGAAAAATCGTAAGGCATGAGGTGGTGGACAGTTGCATTAATGCGCACTGATGGAGGGGGCCCGTTTGAGAGTGAATAACTAAAGCGATAACATTAGGAGAACTCTAATACGTTTTAGGCGCAAACTTTGGGTATAGCTTGCTTGTAATATAAAGGAATCATATTTATTTAAAATTTATTTATTTTTCTAAAAATTGACAAACATGCCTGCTCGAACGACAAATGGCAAACTTTGGAGGTCTGTATCTCATGAAATAATTTAATCATTATGATATAATTTGCAGATATTATTCTACTAATATATAGCTAATATTTAAAAAATAACTAAGGTATCTGTGTGATACAATAGTTAGGATATATTTAGTCAAACATGGAAAAAAAATCAAACAAAGAAAAATTCCGATGCGAATAAAAAAAAAACACCACCCTCGATTTTTTTTAAATTTAGGTAACCTGTTATACTCTATTTCGGCATTCATTTCCATTAAAAACATGTTGCATCATTTTATTGAGAAAGAAGATACAACTCCCCAAAGTAGGGTCCTTTTTCAAAGCCTACACTTAGCAGTGTTTTATACAAGAACTGACTCTGAGTTCCAGTTTCATGAAACCAACACACATCTTTTATATATTTTTATTCAGATGAGGCCAATGAAAACTAAAGAAATCGTTCACACACTTAAATTAAGGAGAAACTACTGTGTACAAAGAGGTATCATATTACGGACTAGTGATCCGAGAAAAGATCATGCAGCCATCGGCCACTAGGAACTTTGTTTACTTTATTCTCCTGCGACACTATATGCTATTCCCTCTTCCGCTCTACCTTCATCTCTCTCTCTCTCTCTCTCATATATATCCCTGATATATATCCAGAACAAAAACATGTTCAAGCATTCCCTTTCTGCGTGGTAGTGTTCTGTGGCTAGCAAAAATCATTTCCTCGCTAAGCTCACGATTATGGCAAAATAGTTGCCGGAAACCGCAGACGACACTCGTCGCTAGTTCTGGCAAAACGGCCGATACAATCTTTTTTTCGCATTTCCCCGCTCGCTGTCAAGGACAAGGGGGTTCGCTTCAACCAGCAAAACATGGCCGCCGACTCCTGTTTACTGAGCAGTCACGCCTGTCGCCGTCTCACTCGCTGGCGTCACGGGCGATAATATCAGGCACAAAGGGGCACACCAACCGGCAGCATTATCCCCAAATACTCGAGCCTCGCGTAAATACATAGAGTGTAAACGCTGTCGCCATGTTATCGTAGTAAGACCGCCCCCCCCCCCCCCCCCTCCCCCAACGGGGGACTGCAGTATGCGACGGCGTACTAACACAACGGCGACGATATCGACATCGCGGGCTCCGAATTTTCCCATAGTTCTACTCCACGGGCATTTCTCGAAACGCTTGATATTGTTTACGCCCGCCTGGAAGGATTTCAGGCGCGTAGTTAAGATAAGGCGGTTCTCCGCGGCAAAAGAAAGCAATTTCACAAAAGCTTAAAAGCGGTGGCGACGCGTGTGCGGTGAACGCTTGTAGTTTTGGTGTAGACAGGGTGTGTGTGTTCTCGTTGTTGACACCAGCCGGCGATAAGGCACTGCAGGCGGTAGCTCAGTACAGCAAGGGCTAATCCGAGTGACCATCAACGTAACCCCACCGCCAACCCCTCGCGAACCGGTCGCCGACATGGCTCAGGCTGTGTCATGAACCACGTGGTAGAAGCTAGGGTGCTTTCATATCAGCGCGTGGAGGGACGACAGTGCGATTCCGGAAAGTCTTTTTCGAAGGCCGCTGACCACAATTTTTTGTCTGGAGACTTTCCCTCTTTCTTCCTTTGACGTGGATCAAGCTTTGCCGACAGCCTCAGTTGTGACCTCTCTTTTCAAATGTATGTTTGCAGTGAGTGAGCTCCTCAGCCTCGGACTTGTCACTTGTGCACCCAGTAGTTCTTTCACTTGGCAATTATATGCCATCAGTTGAGGTTTAATTTCTATTATTTATGTATACATTATGAAGACGTCCTGGAGCTCCGAACGAGTGTTTTGTGCAGATTTCTTTTGCAAACACAAAAAGACTATACCAAAGCAGCGGAATTTTCGAAGTGTTGGCGAGTTGGACCTAAACTCGTTGAAGCAAATTCTTCCGCCTGACTGTTCCACCCAAGTGAGTGCGACGGACTACCTGTGCTACCATTGCTTCATGCACATCACTAAGGAGATCTCGATGCGAAGCTCAGAGCAGTGCCCTGACATATTTGTGCCAGCTGAAGAAGCAATTGAAGATCTAAATCGCAGCATACTACCTACAGATGTGTCGCCGCTGAGACAACCAAGCGTCGTAAGAAGTCGGGACAGGCCTGCCTATGTCAAGAGAAAGCAGACAGAACTGGAGCAGGTTGCTGTCAAGAATATACGCTCAAGGCTACGTATTGCGTACGACAGGGACGCACCATCGGGGTCGTCCGAACCAACATGCTCCACATGCACTGAGTGGGTGGACAACTTTCGGCAGGCCTTTGAAACCGCCACCTCTCTCCGGGAACGTTGTCAACTGCTTACACTCCTGCCGTCAACACTGACGAAGAATGAGGTTCAAAAGATGATTCCACAGGCCTCAATGTACCTCATCAGTAAATCCCGAAAACTCAAGGAAAAGCATGGCGTGTGGTATGAGCCGGATCCTTACACGAGGTGCAAGGTGAGCCCTGAGAACCTGTCTGCTGCCCTAGAGTACTTCACGAGAGACGAGCTACAATGTTCGCGCCAAAGTCCCAACCAGAAGGACGTCATCTCTGTCATGCTCAACGGAGGGAAAACGTTCGTGCCAAAGCGCTTCATGACACGCTCAATACGAGAGGCCTTCCGTATATACAAAGCCAAGCATCCCGATTCCGGCGTTAGGCTAACGAAATTTTATTCGTTGCGCCCTAGATGGGTCCAATGTATTCCACACCAGGAAGTGTGCGTTTGTGTGCGCTGCGCCAATTATTATCTTTGTATTGCCGCTCTAGAGAACGTTACAGGCTCAACATTCAACACTGGTGAAATGAACTCGGCATTTCTGTGCGACCCAGCAACAGAACTGTGCCTTCAAGGAGACTGTGATCACTGCCCAAAAGGCCAGTTTCTTACACTCCAGGAACTTGATATCCCGGAGGATGAAGAGATTGTGCTTGCAACATGGGAGTCCGGTGACCTTGTGAAAAAAACTTTGGAACCTGAGACTTTCCTAAAAGTCATCCAAGTGACGGTTGGAAGTTGGGTACTTCACAACCATATGCGGCAAACGCAAGGTAAAGCGATCTACGATGAAAAACAGTGCATGCAACACGGGAGCATTGTCTTTCATTTTGACTTTGCTGAAAACTGGACCATCGTGCTTCCTGACGAAGTGCAAGCATATCACTGGAAAAAAAAAACAAGTTTCGATATTTACATGTGTAGTGACGACAAGAAAATCTACAAACAGCTTTGCCATCATCAGTGAGGACCTGTGTCACGACGCCGCTCACGCTTGCTTGGCTCTAGAAAAAGTGAAGGAGTGGGTTGAAGACAACGTTGCGGTATACTCGTACGTGACATACGTAAGTGACGGCGCCGCCAGTCATTTCAAGAATCGCTACCAGCTTCACCAATTTGCAAAGGACGATTGCCCACAAGCCCAGTGGTTATTTTCTGCATCTGGACATGGGAAAAATGCATGTGACGGAGTTGGCGGACTCGTGAAGCACCAGGCCACGCTGAACAACCTGAGAGAACGTTCAGTAAGCGCAATTCAGACGGCCAGGACAATGGTGAGCGTTCTATCAAAGAAACTGAAAGGCGTGCATCTTGTATATCTGGACGAAAATGAGGTTGTTCGGTATCGTGAACAAAAAAAAGAAGAGTGGCTGACGGTGCGCGCCTTCCCTGGCATTCAGTCTTGGCGCGCATGGCGGCTCAGCAAGTCATCAACAGAAGGGACCTGTGACGTATATGTAGCACGGACAGTCGGATCTGCTTGGAAGCAACTTTATTAAATGGGTACAGCGAGGAAAACCTTAGCGTAAAGTGCCGAATTTGATTTCCCAAGGACTGCTCATTTTGAATGCAGGGACATCTTATTTATCACATTTTTCTTCACGGGGTATTTACCCTACTGTTTTTGTTGGTGGTTACTAATAATTTTTATCTGATCACTATAAAAAAAATCCCAAAATGTTATCCTCGAGCAGGATAAAATATATCGGCTTGCCACGATTCATTCATACACCGAGAGCATCGAAGCTGCTCCAGTTAGGCACTATGGCATCCGTCACCTGAAATTGTTTGTAATCGTAAATACACAGCCAACCTAAATATCTTACTGTTATATCTTTGCTTTTGTGTGTGGAAGTAAAGTTATTTATTTTACTCTAGATGTAAAATATACCGGAAGGTACAACTTCACACTGCATCATCTTTTCTCAAATCATTAGTCTCTAATATGATACCACTTTGTACGCTTATGTAAAATGCTGTATATAGTTTCTCCTCCCTTTTACTGTGTGACCGATCGCTCTTTTTATCAATGACCTCATCTGAATAAATGTATATAAAAGATTTGTGCAAGTTTCATGAAACTGGAACTCAGAGTCACTTCTTGTACAGGAAACTGCTAAGTGTAGGCTTTGAAAAAGGACCCTACTTTGGGGAGTTGTTTCTTCTTTCACAGTGCAATGATGCAACATGTTTTTAATAGAAATTAATTCCGAAATAGAGTATAACAGGGTACCCAAATTTTAAAAAAATCAAAGGTGGTGTTTTTTTTTTATTCGCATTGGAATTTTTCTTTGTTTGATTTTTTTCCCATGTTTGCCTAAATATATTGTAACTATTGTGTCACTCAGATACCTTATTTATTTTTTCAATAATAGCCATATATTAGTAAAATAATGTCTGCAAGTTATGTAATAATGATTAAATTATTTCATGAGATACAGATTTCCAAAGTTTGCCATTTGTCGTTCGAGCAGGCATGTTTGGCAATTTTTAGAAAACTAAATAAATTTTTAATAAATATTATTACTTTATATTACAAGCAAGTTGTACCCATAGTTTGTTTGTAAAAAGTTTTAAAATTCTCCTAATTTTATTGTTTTAATTATTCACTTTCAAACTTGCCCCCTCCATCAGTGCGCGTTATTGCAACTGTCCACCTCTCCCTGCCTTAAGATTTTTCTTGTCTCCAAATTTTTTTTCTGGTCAAAACTAAGTGTGGATTCGTTTATACCAGACACTAGACAATGTCATATAAAAACATCAGTTGATTTAAAAATGTCGACCAGCCACCCTTTGGTCGTCTTATCTGAAATCACCCTACAATTGAAAACTCGTCATTAGGGCTTTTGATGCTAAACATGGTGCCTCGTTCTAGTTTTGCCTAATGACTTTATATTTACGAGCTCAATATTTCGCTAATTTTGTGAAGCGAAGGTTTCGGAAGCAATTTGCGCGCAAATCATTTTGCGATTGGAAGGGATAAATAGTCACCATGCACAGATGTATTCAAGCGATGAAATTTTTTCAATATTTGTTAAATCGCAATATTGACGAAAATTAGGTCCTCACACAAATTACGTTTTTCCAGTACTAGATTGCAAATAAATGTCTACTGTGATTTAGGACATCCTACAAAGAAGCATCACTGGTAGAGGCCATAGAATATAAGCAAGATGCACTTTGATAAATGTGAAGCAAGCAGCAAACAAAGTATCATATTGCCGCGTGCACAGCTAGCCAAGTAGGCAACACGCTTGGTTCCCACACAGATGGCCGGGGTTCGAATCTCGCCATTGCTTGTCGTTTTTTCTTTCTTTACGTAAGAAGAAGAGTCTAGAACGTTGGAGAGCCGTGTAGCTTCTTCATTATAGAATGTATACTTCCAGAACGAACGACGTAGAATGTTCTAGGCTCGCAGGGATGCCTCAAAACAAGCCGCGTCGCGCCTTACAGAGTCAGTGTTTCACCAGTGCTAGATCCTGCTGTTACGCCGACATCGACGCCCGCAACGCCCAGTTACCTTACCTTTTATTTTGGTACAAATTCACCCCCACTAAATCTTCAGTTCATTTCACTGAATCTCTAGTTCAATCCGTTTTCTCCTGCCTTATCGTCTGTCCTTCGTGGCAATATTGTCACAGATGACGAGTGAAGAAACTATGAATAACTGAGAAACCTAAATGTTTACTTAAAAACAAAAGGATAAAAACATTAAAGTACACGGATGACCAAACTCTTTCAAAGAGCAATGACGTTGCTACCTGAAAGAGTGTGGTCAATCATCTACGTCTTTAATGTTTTTATTCTTTCGGTTTTAAGTATTCATTATAACAATGCACTCAAATTAACTAGTACTAAATGTTTAACGCGGCAAGGTGCCAAAATAAATGTACACTAATGGGCGCTGCGGGCGTCAATGTCGGCGAGGCAGCAGGATCGAGCGCTAGCGGAAGACTGAGCTCGTGCAGCATTCTAAGGCCGCTTTTATACACGGTCTGTGTTCACGAAGGTTGAAACCAAGAAGGCACAGTAACTAATGAGAATGCACTGCAATTTTCCAGCGATGCGACGAAAGGCAATAAGCAAAATACCCGGTGGGATTTGAACATATGGTTCATCCCCGTAGGAGCCACGTGTGCTGTCCACTTGGCCATGCAAGCAGGATGGCTCTCGATAAGCTAAGAACACTACGGAGAAAGAGTTCAACACCCCTCACATCTTTCCTAGGGCAGTTGAGTCCCACAATGGTCCTCTTAGGATGCTCGCACGCTGGCTTGCCCACTTCACCTTCGATCCCGAGCCAATTGCGCACATACTCCGTGTCTCCAAAGGGAACCTGCAACATGCACGGACAGGAAATAAGCCAAAGGTTTGTGCTCGTGACCTCCATGACACCCACAAATTGAGTGTACCAGGTCCCAAACTTGAATCTGGAAGTACCTATATACTCAGTTGTCAATGAGCAAACACTTATTAGCAAAAGAGAGGATTAAAAGAATCCTGACCAAAACTATTAAAATGAACATTAAACCCATCAGTTATCGACGAGGTAATAAAGAGCTTTTTAAGGTGGTGATTCTTCCAAGTGTATAGGCTTGTTGTATTGTTTTCCAGGTAGAGTTAAAATCAGTCGGGCAATTATTTTTGTTTATAAATTTTCCCACATGGTGTAGGGGATGGTTTTGTTGCACATAATACATATGATGTTGGCTCAAACTGGTGTTGTTGTAGAAACATAAACATAGGCAGGTAGTTTTGAATAAGTAAGAGGTGAAGGTATTCCTGGTGTCGCTTGTCTGGCTTTGTGGGTTTCGAGAGGGGAGAGATTACCGTAGGGTAGGGGTAAGGCTGACCTCGGTCGGTGGGCTGCTTCTGCACCTTGAAAGGGGGTGAATGGGGGTCGCTTAAAATGATAGAAAGTTGAACTAGTCGCTGTTGGGGTGGCCGTTGTGTGTGCTTTTGATGTAACTGACTTTGTTGCATGACTGAAGGTTGGAAATTGTGTGTCACGCCCCCTTTGTTCTTTAGTATTGCACTTCCAAGATGTTGAAACAATATTTGTTTAGCTAACATGTTCTGCTTTTGGTCCTGAAAAATGCACATTTGTCATGCCGAGCCAGTCTGGATCTCGGGTACTACTAGGCCCAGGTGTAAATTATGGTGGTTGCACCACCACCACCACTACTACTACTACTACTACTAATAATAATAATACTATTATTATTATTGTTATTGTTACTGCAAATATACTCCAAAAGCCAGAGGAAGTCATTTAGTGAAAAAGTTTACTCTGGCTTGACATGTTAACATCAGGTTCACTGGGTTGGTCCCGCCAAAAGAAACACGCTTGGCGCCCAACAGGTCATAGACTAAGTTACAGTCCTATTTATTTTGGCTCAAAAGAGCCGCGGTACCAGAAAACGGCAGACGATGTTGTACAGCCATTAGGAATGTGACCGGTCTCACCCCGTTCTGTGCCATGCCGAACGGTCCGGGGTTCATGCCAAGGAAGATGACCGTCTTGGCGCCGGTGCAGTACTTGCGCACGAAGCACTCGTGGGTCTCGCGCGCATAGTCCACCGGGCTGTACACGTGCGACACCTTGTCCCCGTACGGGATGCCGAGGAGCAGCTCGCACTGCTTCCGCTCGATGCACAGGTACTCGCTGGCCACGTCCGAGCACGTCGCCATCAGGTCAATCGGATCGCCATGCCTGACATCTCCGGATCTCGAAGAAGCCACAGCAAGTCGGGAGATGGGAAGTTCAGCGAGTTCAGCTTCTCCCAGCTTCTCCTTTAAAATTTTCGGTTTAGGACGCCATCAGCTAACGCTGCCCCATCGCTACCCCCAATCCCTTTGCCCCAATCCACACATTAAAGTCATTAAAGTGCCACACCGCCACAGCACCGCCACACAATTAAATTGGGGAGCAACTTGCGCCACCTACTGGTGGGTTTAACTTTAAGGGTGGTTATTTATTTAAATGTAACAAAAGAAGTCTCTAAAAAATGGTTTGTACCATAAGAATCAAATTTTAAAGGTAAGTGTTTCCTTAGCTTTTCAATTGACCTGTCTACTGCGTTTGAGAGACGGGACTTTAGCATAGAGTTATTATAATGGACTTTAGTTGCGTCATCTAAGCTAGATAGCGCAAGCTACCACAAACAGATTAACAATTGCGTAGATGCAGCAGTAGCGTCAACCTCACAATCTCTGGTCCATTCATTCATCTAGAAAACAGAGAAAAGAAAACGGAACAAACGAAACAAACACGGACCGCACGGACTCGCTCGCACGGGAAAGACGCAGAGGCGGAGACGACGGAGTAGACCGCGCGTTCATGGAACGGGTCGCGTAAACCCTCGTTCCAGACGTCCAGCAGCCGCTGATCTTCATATTCGTGCAGCGTCGGCACCTGACGAAGTAAGGGGCCCGTGCCTGCAGCCCTCGTGCCGCGCCTGGGCCCTGACGCCCACGGAATGCCTTGTAAACAGCGAGGCACTTCGCCCCGCCCTTGGGAGCGGCAGCAGCACTACGCTCGCAGCTGAGTCAGCTGAACGGTTGGCCAGCGTCGGTGACAGCCGCGGTCGCAGCGATGGCCTCTTCATCGGGCGACCCGGGGCGCTCGCCCTTCGAGTTCCTCAGCTACCTGCCGCAGGGCCACGAGAAGGCGCTCAAGCAGGCCGTGTACAACACGGCCACCATCCTGTTCGCGGCCTTCGTAAGCGTGGCCGGCGTGGCCGTGTACTTCATCCTGCGGCCCTTCCTGGGCCCACTGCTCTGGGCCGTGCTGTTCGGCTCGGTGCTGCACCCGTTCAAGCGGTCCCTGTGCCTGTTGCTCGGTGGCTGGCTGGACGCCCTGCGCGAGGACAGCACGCCACTGGCCCTGGGCATCGTGTGCCTGCCCTTCCAGGTCGTCGACGCAGTGGCCGAGCGCGCCTGCACGCTGGTGCTTCGCTACCTCAAGGCCTTCCTGGCCGTGTCCGTGGTTGTGCCCTGCATCTACGTCGCCTACCACTTCCTGCCCGTGGCGCTGGCCTGGAAGCTGGTCGCCGTGCTGCGCGCACTCTGCCGCCTCCTCTCCGTCCTGCTCGAGGTCTTCTCGTCCAGCTGGATGGTAGGTGTCCAGCCCAGTGTCTCGCCCTCGTGCTACATGTCGTTGGTCCACGACGGATGTGTCAGCAGCTTGTTATCCTCTCTCCTAATGTGTGACAAAATATTAGTGGTCATGCGTCGAGTTTGTGAAAAGTAATGCTGCACGCACGACGTCGTGCACCTCTCGTGAGGCACGTATAAAACGAATTGTCAAAACGGATTGCAAAAGCTGTAACGTGGCATTGTGGTAAAGTGGCCGCTTCACATGCAGAGGACAACTCAGGTGGGAAACCTCTATAGGAGGTATTCACTGGATGCCATATTTGTGGGTGCTGTTCAGAGCGCATGCTCAGAACGAGCTAAATTAATAGCCTGCTAAGACCGGCAACCTTGATTGTGCTAAATGCACGCTCCAAAAGGACTGCGGAAGCTCGCCGTCGGCACGCGCTCAGCAGCAGCGCACACGGATATGGCCACCAGTGAATACTCTCCATAGGAGCCTGCATTGAAAAAGTGGCTCCGATCCATATTCGAGAACCGAACTAGACGCGATCGCATCGCCGCCATTTCTCTTGCAATGGCCACTTCGGGAACTGCACGGCTGCAGGTACTGGTTCAGTCGAGTCGTGCAAGAGCCGATGGCGCTAGAGTAACTGTATAGGCTCTGCTTGCTGAGCCAGAGTATCGCATTCCTTTTCCTTGCGCCGCCTACTCCACATTGGCAGAGAAGCGGTCACGTGCGCCAAACTGGATCCCACTTTCATGAGAGAAAAGGACCTTGCAGGCGCCGAGTTCCGGGTGGAGCATGTTTCTCGATTTGTGTTTGCGAAAAATGCATTCTACACTAAAGTCAAACGAACTTGAAGGTTTCCTGTCCATTGAACATTATGTGCAGCCACTAGGTACAGTATAATCACATTGTTTTATAACCTGAGCGATGTTTTAAAACATGTTCCCCAAGTTTGTGAAGCAGACGACACGGAGGACGATCGCGGCTGCAGTGCTCACGGAGTGATGCGCGAATGGCTCATACGGGCACTTCGAACCAGACAACAACGCATAGCTATGGCTTTCTAAGGGACAACATTTTCGTCGGTTACTATGTTCTACCGATGGCATAGAGAAAAAGAGAAACCAAATGACGAGACGACGGCGCATGCATGGCGTGTTGCCGCACTATATTTTCTTTGCTCCAGCACACCGCCTCACAGTCGCGCCATCCACTCCTCCGAGTCCTCTGAAGAAGCGATGGTCGCTTCCCGCAGAGCGGCCTTGTTCCTAACATGGCCGCCCTGGGAGCACCATTGCGATACTCTCCTCCGCAAGCGGAGCATATGCAGTTACTCTAGATCAGAGGTGGCCAGGCTGACCTGGCCTAAGAGCCGCAAACAAAACCACGAAACTTCCAAGAACCATGGGGGGGTCATGCAATAAACGAAACTCGAGCTGCATACAATCTATCCGAGTCAAAAGCAGTCCGATTATACGCAAGGTAGCAGCAGCACAAGACTAGCAAACCGCAACCTGTCTTTCGATTTAAAACCCGTTGCATTTCTTTTTTGGAGGGGGAGAGGGAAGGGAGCTGCGAGCCGCAACTTGGCCACCCCTGCTGTAGATGGTGCCAGAGCCGTGTATTGGGAGAGTTTGGCCAATAGGCGGAGCAAAAGCCGTCGCCAGCGCCGAATATTCCCCCCGCGCTTAGAGCGTAAACTAAATTTGTGACACAGCGTCGACCAATCAGGAGAACGCGACGTCACAATATTGCAAACGTCATTTAAAGCGTGCAATAGAAGCGTCCAATCTCGGCCTCTTTACTCCATCTCACAAATGTCGGCAGTGAAGACAAAGGCACAGGCGCGCGAGCCTAGCTCAGCAAAGCGCTTTTGTTTGTACAAGAACTCATGCATAGGAGCCACTTTCCAAAGCCACGCGCTCGTGCCCATGCCTTTTTCTGCACTGCTGATGTTTGCTTGTTAGAACAGCGTCTTGTGACTGGCGGAAAGAAAAGAGTGCAAAGGGTGGGGCGCGCGAGCGTCTGGAGACACAGAGTCCCGCTCGGCTCGTGCGCTGGCTTTGGCAGTGCTTTCTTTCACCGTCTCAGCTGAGACACTGTTTCTAGCAAGTCGGCCCTGGTTTGGAGCGCACGTTCGTTTATTATACACTTGAATATTATCGTGACGAAAACCTCGCACGCACAAAGTTTTCAGTCACTGAGGGTTACATCTTTTAACTCTAGCGACGCTAAAACGGCTTGAATTAGTCGTGGCACAAATTTAGAGTTCACGACCACCGCTAGGGGCTGTTTCGCGGCCTGTGATTGGCCCCGAGATGCTCGCCTATTCAAACCAATGTATGGCCAAACTCTCTCGATAAACGGCTCTGGATGGTGCCGTCTCGCAGTGCCATCTTTCAGTGGCTATATAAAGCAACTTTCGTGTTTTGCCCCTCCGCTAAAGGGTGGCACTGTAATCTTATCTAGTTCGGTCTCAGTGGATGCGAGCAGTCCGGGTTTTTAGGGTGAGTTTCCCAACTGAGTGTTCTAGTAACATGGCACGCAACAGACCCTGGATCGAAGCCGGAAGCCAACTGGCATATTTTTCTTCTGTTTTTTTATTTTTCTGTTAAACATTTGGTGATATTAAATGTCATTTCTTTTTTACAATCTCACAGTAAAGAACTGATGTTGACAAAACTTTGCTGAACTACCCGGTATGGGACTCTCTTTCTGGAGGCGCAGTGGAGTACAGCGGAGGGGCTTCGGCCGCCGGCGAGGCGCCACGAAGCGGCATAAACGGGGTGGGGGGGACAGGTGGGTTAACATGTGCCCCAGTGGTACGCACGCCGTCCCCCAATGAACCTCCAAAAAGGGTGACCCAAATGGCATAAGCTCTCCGCCATCCTCGGATCAAGTGTATAGCCATTTTCGGTCGAGGTGCACTACGTCGTGCATATAGCATCACTCTTTTGTAAAAGTTGCGCCATCTACAAAATTTACTTACTTCAAAACGTATACGAGAGTATCCATTTGTCTTCTGGGAAGAAAGCGAATGTTGACATGCTCACGCTGCTACGACTATTGGCCTCTCTGCTGGCGAAGCAGCGGAAGGAAGTCTCACCGGAGGAAAGCTCACAGCAAAACTATCCGATGCAGGGAAAAGCTCACTTACCTTTTTGATGGATGCGGAGAAAAGCTTGCTTATGAATCTAAAAATCGACCGTTCACTCAAGTGAAATACTCAAATAAAAACTCGTCCTGGGATGCCTTATGTGCATGCGGTAATTCTGCAATGCACTCGCAAAATTTAATTTTAAAATCTAAGAACGTCTTGTAGCACTTCAGGCATTGCTCGATGAAAATAAAATAAATAGTTTGAATACAATGCTAATTATAAAATAACGGGGAGAAATTGACCATTGTAGACGGATGCAGCTTGATTTGTTTCTGGATATTTATTTTGGAAATGACCTTTAATGTAGTCAGGGATGGGCAAAATACATGCAAATATGTATCGAAATACAAACGCAGAATACTTCGTCAAAAATGTATTTAATTAAAAATCCAATTGCATTTCCGAAAAAGCATTTGAGTGCAAGATACAAATACAACCAAATGTATTTGGTCTCCTTGAAATACTTTTCTAAATACATTCCTCAAAATTTGCGTCAGAGACTTCAGGGCACCTGTGACGGGTTTCTGGGTATCTGATTTTAGTTTTGCATCGCACACTCGGGAGTTAGGGTGCGAGGCTCTAGTAACGTAATAGAAATATAATCACAAAAAAAAAATATAATCAGCTTGGACGTAATAGGTGAAAAAAGTACAGAGCTTCAAGCAGCTTTTTTTGTCGATTACATTTTGGTATAGACCAACAAAGAACCGAGACGACCAAGACGCGCAGCACTAGATAGAGCATTTTTTATTGTTGCAACTCGCACCAGTTACGAAAATCTGGACGACCCGCGCATCTAGAATGTTCCAGGCAAAAATATGGATGGAAATCGGGCTGGAAAGCATCGCAAGTTGTCACAGGCACTTATTTAGCCAGTCTGCCTGTGAACGTCGATTTCGTCACTATTCTTGCCCTGGACTAGCACCGTAATCACAAAGTTACTAAATGCTTGTGCTTGATTGAGAGAGACTGCATTCGGTGCAGAATGTAGTTTTTTTTTTTTTGCTCTGGACAGTGACAATAAGTTTGAAGGATGCATTTTCGCCCACAAAATTGTATTTAATTACAATTCTATTTGAAATACCCACGTTTTAGTATTTAAATAGACATGTCAAATACATTATCCAAGTTTTAATTAAATACAAATTCAAAATACACAAAGTATTTGAAATACGTATTTCAAATACTTGTATTTGAAATACTGCCCATCCCTATATGTAGTATACTGACGCCACATTGCCAAATCTCCACATTTCACTATTTGTTTAATATGCAGTTTCAATTCCTACTTCATTCGAACGGAAAATTAAAAAAGGGTTGTATTTCCTTTGTCCTGGCTATGTCAGAGTCAAATGTGGTAACACTCACGCAAAATGGGTTGACAAGCAGAACGAGGGCTACAGCCAGGGTGGAGAATAAAAATAAAGATGACCTAAATTGTGATTTAAGTCAAACCCGATTTACTAGGGTGATTTAAATCAAACCTTTCCTACAAAAATAATCCCCATTTCTTTTTTTTTCTTTTTTTTTTTTACCGTTTGTTTATTATTTTATGCTTTCAATATCTGCATGTGTACTGTATATAAATTAAAGAATCATCACGCAGGATTTATATCACACCGAACACGAGCAAAAAGCAGTGGTCTTTGGACAAATCGATTCGTTGAGACTTATTTCTGCCTCCGACTTTGCTCGTCAGTTATGTCACATCTTTTTGCGATCAAGTCAGAACGCAAAAGATGGAAAAGAAAACTGGAAAAGTAATATCGTTTTGCAAGAAAATCAGATTGCGAGAAAGAAAAGCTAATGCAGCTTTTTTGCCAACCAAAAACTAGGCTGTTTTTGTTCTAGT